ATTACTAAAATATAATTAATAAAATTTTTGTAAAAGCCGGAAAATATAATAGTTTTTAACTAGATACTCTAAAATTAAGTAGAAAATTGAACTCATCGATACATCTTTTAAATATAATTTGCTAAAATTTTGGAAATAGCTATTCAAATTCTAGCTAGAATTTAATTCGATTTTGATAATAAAGATCCAGATAATAAATCCAAGTTACGGTTAAAAATTTCATAATTTTTATTCTTATTCAAGAGAGGAAAGTGGTTTACAATACGTATAAAGAGAGGTTAGAGATTTGGGGTAAAATAATTAAGAAAAAATGAAAAGGGAAAAATTAAAGGAAAAGTGATGGAATTTGAATTTGAAAGTATAAATAATTAATTTTAATTAAAACAACAATGCCAATTACGAGTACTTCTCGATACCATATTAAATAGATGATCTATTTTAAGAGTTACTTGCCTTTGAAGATCGATACTAAAAAGGGTCAGACAAATATGATGTGATTCAAAAATTAATTGATTTATATGCTGTATTAATAGAGCATTATGACAGTATTCAAGTAATAAATATCATCGAAAGTAGGACCCAGTGGGATATTATTTCAATGAGAAATTGTAATCACTGTTTGCATGTTAAAGAGCTTTGAAGACCATTCGTAAAATAAATCAAGATTAAGGTACATTTGTGCCTTTACATTCTCAAAGTTTGATTGTTTAAGAAATAAGAAGTATTGAAAATAGTTAAGAGAGTGCAAAAGCGAAAGTATGAATATAAAATAATAGAAAGTAAGTAGCGTGTGTAGAGTAGAAGAAGAGAGAACGATAGACAAAGGCAAAGATAGCTATGGAAATTTAAGATTAAATTGAATGCAATTAGAATAGTTTAGAAAATATGATAACAGGATATCAATAAACTTAGAATTAAAATTTAAAGGTGATTGAAGAAGACTTAAAAAGACAAGATGACAATTTCTTATAACGAAGATAAAAAAGAGAGAGTAAAATTCCATATTGATAACAAGAAACTAATTAAATGAGAAGATCGAGTAGAATGTGTTCAACTAAATGCAGTACAGAAAGATTAGATGTTTTCGAAAGTTGTATAGAATTTTCAAATGGAGGATAAGAATAGATGAGAGAATTGAATAATACTAGATTGATGTAGTTTTTAAAAGAACAATCAGATAAAGTTAGTTCAGATAAAAATTAGTCTTAAGAGTCTGGATAGATGGAAGAAGTACAACCATTTGAAGATTTGAAAGTGGAAGAAATGGATGATATCGAAAATATTATTCCTCCAAGAAGGCAAATAAGAGAATCATCATCTGAAGACATTATGGATTCTCCTCCATAATAATAAAGAAAGGTCAAATAATTTGGAATGATTGATAATAATGGAGATATGCTGTTATTGGAAGAAGAGCAGAATTTAATAAGTGATTTAAATATTGAATTAAACTATAAATAGAATGAAATTTGAATGAATTAATATTCATAATTGATATTTATTATTATATGATTATTCATATCACTCATTAGATGATAACAAAATTATTTATATTTCCATAGATGTCATTATCCTTAAGATCATCATCTGTGCAAATCCATTCTCCATCAACGTAGAATTTGTAACTATGATATTATTAATTTAATACTAATATTCTCCAGGAAGCAGTTTCAGAGTAACATTCCATACTTTGGAGAAATGATCAAATTTGAGTTTGTGTTTCTCCTTCCATTCATCAAATGAACCAGACACAGCTACTTATCTTGGTTACAATAGTCTAGTGGATCGATACACAAATTAATGCAATCTCAAATTGGATCTCTTTGCATGAGCTAGAATTCTTTCAAAATTCTTGAGTGTTTTGTCAGAATTAGAAAATACCTAGATATTTATTTTAAATTTCTTACTCTTCCTTCTTCTTTTGTAAAAAGCTCTTGTTCTTTTAATTCTTTATAATCTTATTGAATTTGTCCAGCCATTTATTAAACTAATTCTTTATCTATGAAGTTTTTATCAAATAACCTGTAATATTCCTAAGCCCATGCTCTACTCACATCAGCAACATCGATGGCTGCATCAAAAGCATTTTTTCTAAGTTATGCATACTACTCTTAATTCTTATATAATTAAAGAGCTCTGTCTATAGCATAGAGGAAGTTTCCTCGATTATAAGCATCAAAAATAAATCCTGATCCTTTTTGTTATTTCTAATCATATTCATGAACTGTGTCTCTTAAACCACCAGTTTTAAAAGCAATAACTGGAGTACTTCCAATAAAGAATTCATGTTAAACTATACCTCCAGGTTCGAATAATGATGGCATTAATCCAAAGTCACAACCAACATTCACTAAAGTACCATCCATAAAGAATGCAGATGGATCAGCCCAGAAATTTCTAGGATATATAGATTTTAATCTAATCATATTCTAAGCACAAAATGCACTGTATTCTTCTTTCATATCAGCAGGTCCTCCAACTAATATCTACACAGTGCCTTGACTTCTTTAGATGAGTTCTTCTGCAACTTCCAAGATGAGATGTACTCCCTTTTATTTAGTAACTCTACCTACAAAACCTAACACAACTATATGATTTTCAAGTTAGGAACAGCCAAAATATTTCTTTTGCAATTATTCCTTAGCTTTTAAATGATCATTATTTGTTTTATCCATTATTACTTTGAATCTTTATTCTCTTCTTATGCCATTAGGAAAGGCAAAAGGTAGAGGATGTTTTCTTAACACACTTGCTAATGGAGAGGATTCTAATAACTCATATTTATAGGATTAAGAGACTGTTCCCCAATTATCACATGTAATTAATGGGCATCTGGATGGATTTATAACTAAATTCTACCAGAATGGATCAATCAAGAAATCATTAGGAAGTTCATGAATATAATCTAATGTTCCTTCATTTGGTTTTGGATATAGCCTTCCTTCATATAATGGATCCAAATTATGGACAATGTGAAATGATTTCGTACCAGCGAAGGCTTCTCCATATCTTCTTATTCTAAGATATCCTGGAATTAAACCACAGAACCAATCGTTAGTGACAATTAATGAAGGGATAAGTTTAAGTTAACATAACAATTCTAAACATCCTTTAGCATAGACTGTTAATTATTTCATAACATAACTAGCATCTTCCCCTGCATATGCAGAAGGGAAATATAGTTCATTATGTAACCAAAACAATCTTACTCCATTAAAAACTCCTTCAAAAACTCCCAAAATTACCTTTTCACCTTACAACCAAATTTCTATATTTCTAATGTGTTTGAATCCATCACTAAGAATATATCCTGTATCCCCTTTTTTATTTCTATGATAATAAGGTGTGATCAAAATAACTTCTTCATTCATTTTAGCTAATTCTTATGTTAATTCATCTACCATAACTCCCAATCCACCAGTTGTAGTCCATTTGCCTAATTCTGGAGTACAAAAACATATGGGGCCTAATTTATTTAGATTAATTAATTGTTATAGTGTATCATAGAAAGGCAGGTTTTTGTCTTAAGTTCCAAGTATTGATTAAAAGAATGCAAATAATTTACATAATCTTACTTTATTTGATTGGAAATCCTTCATTGAACTAATTAACCTATTTAAATCAAAGTTGTTTGGTTTAATCACTTAAGTATAATAGTGAGAAAATCCATTAATAAATTATTACAAAGAATTTAAGTTGTCTGTTAATAATGTCAACTTATTTGCAGCATCATTACCATAAATAGTTAATGGTATTTTTGATTACATTTTTTATTACAATCGAATCAATGCACTTTTCTATGCTTTTTATTAGACCTCCTAAGAGTTACCCAAGATTTCAACACCCCAAATTTAAGATTGAAAGTTCTTTAAATGAACCTCTAATCTTGATGTCAAAAAATTGCCAATATAAAAATAGCTTACTTCTTCATTCTCCAATTCAGGATATGACCAGTTTCTTAATCTTACAACAATGTTTGATCTCTCAGAATTAGGAAAATAATATCTTAAATTTCTAAGGTTCATAAACATATCAATTTCACCATCATTGAAATTAATAGCAATTAATGCCATTTCATCTTTTGAATATCTAGCAAATGCTAATACATGTGTATGCCAACCATACATATGTTCAGCAGATAATGATACTAATTGCCCATTTCTTAAAACTTTATGTTGTTTTCTCATTTATCTAATATGTACATAATGTTTTCCAATCTATTATAAATCAAATCCAAATTATGGTCCTACTTCTCTTCTAAAATTCTCTTAAGCTGTTGCAATATTAGAAATATCCATCTACGATAAAGATGAACCACTTTGTACTCTTACAGGTTAACCATTATTATTTGGTCTTGCAGGAGATTAAGCAATCTATAATTAAACTTAATGTGTTAATGTATTATATCCAAATCCATAATCTTCATTAACTTATACATAAGATTCTGCTCTCTTGAGTGATCTCTATGGTGTTTTTTATTATGTTGGATCTTACAACTTAATTTCTGAACTTTCATGTTTTGTTACATAATTGAACACATTAGTTGTTTTTTCACGAAATGCAAATCCTTCTTCTTCTCCCATAAAAGTCATAGGAATATCTTACAAAGTAAAAAATAAATCTACAGCTGCCCATGTACCTCGCTTATAAATTAAAGCAGGATAAGGCCATGAGTTATAAGTTGTACTTTAAACTATGATACTACCAGATGGATATTATTTTGCTGTATATTCTATCCATTTTTTAATTGCATTAACATTTTTTCTTTCCATTTTTACCATTGTACCATCCTTTTTCAAATTCTCACCAAATATTGATGCAATAGCTATTGGTAATTTAAATAATCTAGGAATCACACCACTTTAAATAAGATTAATTTCCCTTTCTTCTTATTCTCCCATTGCACCCCAAGCTTCTGCCACAATTAAAAAATTAGGAAACTTACTCCATAACGATTTACATATCTTTACTAAAAATGGATTTGGATACAAATTTTTGACACTTGTACCCCAATAACCACAATCCTCATTTTATAAACAAATTTCTCCATTAAAGATTTATTTATTAGAATAAGCTTGATTTCCATCACTGTCCTTTCTATACATTTCATCCAAATCCAAAGAAAATACTTATGGCCATGAAGATCCATTATCTAAATGAACTCCTTGAATATTGTATTATGTTGTTAATTCAATCATTTCTTCTAATAAAACATCCCAAACTCTTTTTTTTCTATTGTTCAAAATAATTGTATCTTCAAAATGTAAAGATCTTCCATCAGTTCCAAACATAGCTACTTGTCTTCCTTATTCATCTAATCTATAAACCAAATCTTTTCTGTATTTTCGATGTGGTCTTGCACTACTTATACGTGTAACCATATCTACTATAATTCTTAATTTATTTTATTAAGCAACTTTATTTAATTACATAAATTCTTCTTTACCGCCCAACATTTAATTAGGTGTTAATCTACAAGTGATAGCCAATGGACTGACCTCTGGTCTTTTAAACAATTTTTATTATTTATCTTAATCAATCATTAAACCATTATCTCTTTCTAAAGTACCCATTAAATAAACACAATTAATTCCTTATTATACTAAATCAGGTATTTTTTCACGAACCTTTCTAAAATTTCCCCTCTTTGTGAACTTACCTTAATTATCTGGTTTTGCATCTAATAAATCAACATAAATTTCATGGATTTGTAAATTCTTAGAATCTCTAGGATGAACTATAAATCTTCCTTGAATTGGTTTTGCTTCCATCATCTGAAGAGATGTAATTTCAACATTACTTTTCAATTCATCCAAATTCATAATTTTCTGAATACTCTATAATTTACCAGAATTTGTCATTCTAATTAACTTCCAATCATAAAAACCGCATCTCTTGAATCTACCAAAATCCATCTTAAATGCCATATATTTTTTATCTCCTTAACTACTATATTCACTCAATTTTGGTTTGTGCCATGATACTATATTTTATTTACATCCAGAATCAAATATATAACTCTTTAAGAGAATAACAATTGAACTTAAGGGATAGGATGAATCATATTCAAATAAGTATTGAATATCAAATTTAGATCCAACTTTTGTAATTTTTGGTTTAAAAGGTACTCTTTTTTACCAATCAACACCATCATATAAAATATTCAATAAAATAACTGCTTAATCTCTTATCAATTATAAAGGATTTCCCAACAAACCAACCAATAACTTCTCCAAATAATGATTACTCTTTGTATCTCTTGCTATAATTGATTTACCAACATCTTAGTCTAAATCCATTAATAACTTTGTTATTTCATCAACATTCTTTTCTACATTTCCATATGAAAGTCTTATAAATTTGTCTCTTAAATCAGTGTATTACTTTTTATGAAATGAGAAATTGCTGACTCCATTTACAATGATCATACATCTTTCATCATAATTCTCTGTCACCTACCCTTTCTTATCAGCAAAATACAATAAAATATGATATAATTCCAATTTAAACATCTTATTCAATTTATTTGCCAAATGACTTCCAACCAATGGATCCAACTTACCCTTAGCTTATATTGCCAATGAAAGCACATTATAATCTATAGAAAATACTCCTTCCTCCTTATTCTGACAAGTACAAATCTTCACTCTTAAATCAAGATACTCTGGTTTGACAGTCTAGGATTTGCTAACCAATATTGTACTATTAATGGAACCCACTCTATCAGTGATTGAATGCACTGACAAGATATTGGTTTTATTAATATCACTTCTTGATAATGGAATAACTTTGTTCTCATCTACTTTCAGGAATCCCACTAACTAATTTAAATTTGCCAAGGATGCAATATAATAATGCACTATATATATTAATATTTATTACCCTAAAATATTAAAGCCTCAATTGTGTGATTTCCCTTCTAAGCACAATACTCTGAAAACAATTCGCTCTCTGGTTTTCCCTAATAATAGTACAACAATGCATAAATTGATTCCAAATATCCTTAAATCTTATTAATTTATACCTTCCTAAAATTCATGATCTTTATGTGTAAATGATCTCAACACATTCAACAACGTTAGATCCAACTTAAACTCAAAAGAATATGTTGAATTCTCAGCATTTTCATACAATTAAAACATAAGATTTTTAATTAATTTATATTTGCTTAATTACCTTATTATGCTCGAAAGATATGTATGAATAAGTTCGTCATAACTATATATCTTTATTTATGATCTTATATATTATATATAAAATGAGCTTTAATATTTTCCTTTTAAATTTTGAGGCTACATCAACTATATTCATTTAATGTTATAAATTGATATATAAGATACAAGTTGAGAGAAGGGGTCTTAATAATATTATAATACTAATTTATTATTAATAATACGAAGAATATATTAAAAATGTTACTTTGATCAAAATATCATATGGTATCATAAGAAATTTCAAAAAGTGTTATTCTGGCTGATTTATATTTATAATCTTAGGTTCCATATTGTGAAACACAAGCAAATTTCAATGTTTTTTTGAGACTTCTTTTATCTAATTTTAGAATCTACATATTCCTTTAACATAATATATTGCTAGCATAAAGATCATCCATTTATGATTCTAATGCTCTGATTTTTGTACCATAACCATCATAAACTGCTAAACTCTTATCACCCATCATAATAAAATTAATGTTTTTATAAAATTAATCCATTTGAGCGTCATGAATTCTATGTTTTTCAATCAAAAGTAATTGTCCACAATAAGTTTCATTATCTGTATTAATTTCAACAATTTTATTTTTATTTAACATAATATATTTTAATTTGTTTGGTTAATTACCAAAAACAATTAGAAGATTAGGGTAATTACTTGGACTTATACATCCTGTTATTCCCCAAAAAATATCTATCTCCTTATCTAATTGGACATTTGATAATTATGGAGCAATTTAAATAGGATTTTTCTTAGGAGCAAATTTAGCCTCTAATCTTTCTTTAAATTTTGGATTAGGATATATCTCTTCTTGGGATTTATAAAACACTAAATTTAATTTATTGAAAAAAATACATGAGTATATTCTTAAATAAGTTCCAGAAGAACAACAAAACTATTAAAATGGAATAGTAAGACTAAGAAATGGAACAATTCCTGGATTTCTTATATGAGTTAATCTATATAATAAAATTTAATTTATTATATCCCACACTATCACTTCTCCTGAATCATCACCAGCTGCTATATTTCTTTCATCATTAAAAGAGAGCAAAGCAGTAATCCAACTATTGTGACCCTTTAATGTATGTATAGGAAAGACTGATAGATTATAAGATTAACTTAATAATGAAGATTCATATTTAGCAATTCGATCCATTTCATATTAATTATCCTTAACCATGATATCAAAATCCCAAACTTTAATTTATTTATCAAATCCTCCAGTTATCAAATAAAATCCAGAATTACTCAAATTCCCTTTAAGTATTTAATTGTGCAATTAAGAATTCTCCTCATCAGTATAAGAATCAGCCTATGGATTTTTATCATTTTTAATTTTCAAACTAATCATACTAGATATACAACATGTATCATAAATGGTTTTCAATAATTCACCTGATGAAATTCTCCAGATTTTAATTGTTCTATCATATGAACTTGTTGCAAGTACGTCATCAGATAGAGCCACTAGGGCAGTTACACTATTAGAATGATGTGTTTAAATTTGAGCAACATTTGCAAATCTAAATTTTCTATTCTCAAATAATTCTGGTTAAGCTAATTTCACTTGATGACGATTATATGAGATAAATGCTTAAGACACAACACTAGCATGAATATCTTAAGTAAGTTTAGGTAATTATTTCAAACTATCATTAATAGTAATTTTAGTTTAATCAATCATATCAGCAACAGAGTTTTTTAATTGATTTAAGGCAAACTCTTATAAAGAGAAAGATGAATCTTCATAATTTCTCAAAACCATATTAGAAATATAATCAAGATCTGAAAGTAATTAGCCTTCCATATTAGCTGATTTTCTCAAATTATTTAAGAAATGAAAGCATTACTAAGGATTTTTGGCATATAATTTAGCAACAATTTAAGGTACATCTCCATATCTAGCCAAAGTTTCTTCTGGATTAATTTATTAGTATTGAGTTTTAAAGAAATGAATATTATTTGAAAAAATATTGAATTACTCTATCTATTTATTGTTAAAATAATTACTGTCAAAGAATGCATTAATGGTTTATTTTAAGATATAGAAATGTTACATGATTAATGAAGTTTGATCATCAATTAATTAATTAAAGTATTTCACTTATTTTTTACATAGATTATCATATTCTAATAAATAAGTATGTTCTTTTTCTAATAACAATTTAACATTTTTATTGTATAACCTTTATTTATTGATAATACTTACATACTATCATTTCTATTGACTTTTTTAATTTCAGATGCAAGTATTTCTAAAAAATGAGGAAATTCAACTATATCTTCTTTGTGTTCTTAATAATGGATATCATCATCAGTATTACATTATGGACACATAATCATTTTCTAACAGTTTAATGCTGTGCATCCTTAATGTATAAATCTATCTGGATGACGATAACAAAACAATTCAACTTAAGTTCGTTTTGGAAATGCTGAAATAGATGAAGCAACTGATTATTCAGTTCCAAATCTAACTTAAGTTATATTTCGTTATTGATTATCAAAAGTATTCATTAAATTAATAATAATATTAATTTATGGATAATTGGAAACTTGGAAAAGGAATGTTGAAGGATTTTCACTTCTTCTATCATGATTTTGATAGTTTATCTTTTGGTAAGAACCTTAGATTTATTCGTCCATTTATGATTTGTACAATCATTTTATCTTCAACTTTTGGTATTATATGTCTAGAAGTTCCAGAAATTGATCGAATATCAAATGATTGGAAATACAAATACTTAGATTTAAAAGAAATTAAATGAATATAATAAATGAATACCTTAAAAAATTTAAAATAAAAAAGCTTTCTTTATTAATTAACATAATAAAATAAATTTCATATAATTATCATAGATGCAATCATCTAATTATGTTTCTCATACCAATTAGGCTCAATTATACCGATAAAGTAAGGTTTTTATATTGTTTTAAAATCTTTCATCTCTATTGTTATACGCTTCTCCATATTTAAATTAATCTCCATTGAATAATTACTACCTGCTTTATTTTATTGAATGAATTCAACACCTAAGCTTTCTTATTACTCATTCTCATCACTTGTAGACTAATTATATATATATATAAATTACTTACTTATTAAATCAAATTGGCTATTTAATCAGTATTAAGTTCTTTTTCCAATTAATAGAAACATAAAACAATGTCAAATAATTAAATAAAGTAAATAGTTCCCAATTCTGGATGTTTATTACTAGTAATAACTTAGCTCTTTATATTAATAATAATAATTACATTAAATATTATGTAATCAATGTTGTTTTTGTTTCCATATTTACAATTTTATAAAATTTATGAAATTCTAGTTTCTAACATTTAATCAGTCTATAATTCAGGAGGTATATCCTTATTATAATATTTTGAAAAAGGTATCAAATTGTTCTATATATTTATATTTATATGATACCCTTTTTACAACTAATTGAGATTAAGTCAAAGTTTAATAAAATATCGAAAACTATTAAATTAATGGTTAAACATTGACATCTGCAAAATCTTAAGTACAAAAATATTGAACAATTAAATTATCAACAACTTATGTTTCTCTTTGTAATTTTAATAAATATTTAGTAAATCTTGTGTGATCATTTGCTTCATTTATTTATATTTTCCATTTGAAACCAAGAGATGTAAGTTACTTCTAAACATTTTTATTTACAGTATATTCTCCATTCACCATTTCATGATAAAAACTAAAATTATTCATATAAATTACTCAATACCAACTTCTTAAATATTTGGATCAATTATTGTCAATTAAGTTATTAAGGATTCAAGAACATCCTTAATATCATTCTCTTGACATCCAATTATTGTATAAATAATCCATCTTCTAAAATTTGCATAATTATCTAAAGCACATATACATTCATAATTTTTAATAAATATTTTTAGAGGTTCAGGTTCAAGAGTTTTTTGAATTAATGGGAAACATGGTAAACTAAATTTAGATTTATCAATTTTGATATCTTCACTTATCTTTATTTATGATTTTAATGGTTTAAATTTTATTAAATGATGTTCTTAAATTTTAAATGAGTTTATTATATGTCCTTCATACAATATGGAAAAATAAAATGTTTCAGGTTTAATTTCAATAGTAGATTATTCAGTGAGTGTCTTCCTATTAATTATCATTAAATGATCAAATTATAATTTGATATGATGATTAAAAATATCTGCTATTTCATCATTATAACAAAACATTGGAATTGAGAGATCTTCTTATGTAGGTTAAAATTATGATATTTAAATAGTTTCATGATTGATCTGATCTTTAGAAATAAGGATATTATAATCATTTTCTAATAATGATAAGGCATATATAGTTTATCCATCTATTTCTATAAAAGAAATGTTACTTATTTCAGGTTCTTATATCTAATTATGAAAAATAATAATACAATTCTGTAATATTTATATTCATTTCTAACTTCTGTTTTAAAAGATGGTAATTTAATTCTTAAATCTAATAAAACTATTCTATCATCATTGATTTGTGGTTTTAATTTTATTTAAGGAGGATTATGTTCAGTTTTTCTGGAATCAGCATAACGTTTAAATTTCTGAGCAATATCAGTATTTTCATGAATATTATTATATATCAATTGCATCAATTAATTTAATTTTATACTATGAACATGAAAATTAAATTTAAATCGATTTATTTATTACTATTGATATTCCTTCTTTTTATAATAAATAGTATATCTAATATTTCTTTCACAATCATTTGTCTATTGTTTCCATCTAAATCCTTCTTATTTTAATGCAATTTTTAAAGATTCACAATCAATTAATTTTTCATTTTAAATAAAATGAACTAATTTAATTGTTATTTCATTTCCATTTAAATAATTGCATATTTATTATATAAATTAAGGAAATAATTGTATATTTTCCAATTTAATTTATTCAATAATAACTTTACGATATTATTCACTCTGTTCACATTAACTAATACAAATACCTTTAATTTTTTAATGCTACATAAAAGCTAAAATTTATGAATCTTAGAAATCAATTATTTCAAATAAATTGTCTTTAATTGGAAATGAACTCTCAATATCATTATCATTTTTAATTTGATTCAATAATTTATTAAATTCATCTTTATTTTTTACTATTTATGGAACAAGAATAAAATTATCACAAATTTAGACAGTTTTAGTCTATTTAATATTAGGACTTAAAGTTTTAAATTCTTAACTTTTTATCTAATCCTCCATTTGAATTGTAGATTCTCTTAAATATTTATTAATTAATTAAGCTTCCTTTCTTGATAAAATATTGGTTTACATGTCAAAGTAATCATTCTCTATAAGTAAAATTTCACTGAAAATATATTATATGATTACCAATCACGAATTCTTTTCATCATATCTTTCTATAATTAATGGTAATTTTAATGTACTGTGTCTTATTTACCTAATTTATATAACCATAATAAAAATGGATCTCTTTAGTAATCTTAATAATATTCTTTTAAAAAATCAATATCTACTCTTAATTTTACGAGATAATCTATTTCATCTATTCTCCATCTAACACATCTATTTAAAGAATCTCTCCATTTTTTAAATTACTCAATAACATTGACTGTTAAAATTCTTAGATGAAATAAAAGTTCTGAGAATTTATGTTCTTCAAATATTTCAGTTTTTAAATAATTTAAACATCTCTCCCTACCTTTAATTAGACTCATTAGCTTTTAAACAATGGATTATTTTAACTTTATTTCAGCAGTTTCTCTTAAAATAGCATCAAGATCTTTTTCATTGTATTGAAGAAAGTATGCCCTATGAAATTAAGGAATACGGAATTATTCCCACAATAATTATAATTCATAAAGCCGTATAGCTAATGATTTTTCATCTACTACAATTTTATTCGTTGATGTAGGTCTTTTTACAGATTTCTTCTTAATCATAAACTATTTCTTAATTTCATGATCACTCAGCTTTCCCAAATAAAAACGATTGTCCCATTATTTTTCTCTAACCTATAGAGGCGGTTTCACTAATTTCATAAATTATTATTAATTATTCAAGGAGAAATTTAATTCTAAAAATATACGAAATATTATTCAATTGATTTTTATAGATCTTCATTCAATCTCATATTCTTCATTTACAAATGTAAATATAATATATAAAATAGATTTATATTTAGATAAGTTCGGTTGAATTTGAAAATTACTCATTTTACTTATTCACATCTTTATGAACAACTAATATTCAAAACTAATGTAAATTTATACTTACATACAAAAGTATTTAATTTGTTTATGAAATCAATATTTTAAGAAATAATTTAAAAGTTTTATAATTTAGATATTTATTTAAAGTCTCTCTAATTATATTACAATTATTATTTTATTTTTTCTTAATAAAATGAACATTAGTTTAGAATTGAAAATACAAATTTTTAGTTTTTATAATAATATAATCTTAGGATATTGAATATAATTTTTATAAAATAAATAATTATACAATACCTTAGTGCAATATTTAATAACTATTTATTGAACCATTATTAGATTAAATCAAACAACTAAAATTTAATTGAAACATATAAAATATACATATTTTATTTATAAATCAAGCGAATTGTAAGGCTCCTAGAGCTCCTACGAACATGATTGAATCTTTATAAGATTGTGTAAGCATTGGATTATGTACAACAAATATAGCTGATAGTAAATATATAGATCCAATTAATTTTACATAATTCCATTTAAGTAGTACTCCAATACCTACAAAAAATTTCAATAAAGCACAACTAAATACAACTAAAGTATATGAATCTAATGGAAATTGCTAAAAAAATTATAAAGATATTACTATTGATGGACTTTTTGTTAATTATGAAATGAGTTATAGGAATTGATTAGTTTTCTCATGAGTTTATTTAATTGCTACTTATGGATTTTGTAATTAATGAATTGCAAAACCGACAAAGAAAATAAAAATAGCTAATCTTCCAATCCTTGATGATAATCCCATAATTTTATATTGAATAATTATATTTAATAATAATTTCAGATAATAAATTTCATTATTTTTATCTATTATTAACTATAATTATTCAATATAAAATAATGGGGGGGAAGTGAAATATACAAAAATTTGTATTTTTTTGTTTTTATTTTAAAGAAATAGAAAAGATTCATAATATAATGAAATAGAAATATTCTTTATAAGGTTTATTTATAATAATGGTATTATGGAAGTAGAAGAAGGATGTATTGTTTAAATATGGATAAATAGAAAAATGGAGGCATTTTTAATTTGATGTGAATTAAATTTTATAAGTCAACCACTTGTGTATTTGGTGACAGCTTTTGTTCCTTCAGAGATGGCATGTCTGGCCAATTCTCCTGGAAGGAGCAACTTGACTGCTGTTTGGATTTCTCTTGAACTGAGTGTTCTTCTCTTGTTAAATCTAACCAATTTGCTAGCTTCAAGGGCAATTCTATCGAAGATATCATTGATGAATGAGTTCATAATGTTCATAGCTTTTCTTGAAACACCAATTTCTGGGTGAACTTATCTCAAGACCTTGTAAATATAGAGAGCAAAAGTCTCTTATCTTCTTCTTGCCTTTTTCTTATCATCAGGATTCTTCTTTGTCTTGACTGTCTTAACTGTCTTTTTTGCGGCGTCTGCCTTTGGTGATTTTGATGGTGCCATTTTTATTAATTTGAAAATAAACTTGAATACTCAATACTTAATGTGTCTATTCTGTAATTTGATTGGCTAATTAGGAATATAAGAGAGTGTTAAGTAAAATATACTATGAAAGTATTGTAACATGTTAGGTATAATATAAAATCACTATATTAAATGTTATTTAGATAGAAGGAGAAGATATAAGATGTTGGAAGAAACAATTTTCATGAATTTTATAGAATGGAACATGAAGCCAAAACTAAAACAGTTAAAATGATGCCTAGTGTTCAGTCTGGTTTATCTAAATCAACAAAGTTACATATTACTTGAACTATAATAGTTAGCCTATGATTGATGAGAATCAGAGTTCTCTAACAGGAAATAGTTGGGATGCAAAACACTTAGATACATTTCTCAAATAAAGCAAATATTCAAGTATGAGATAAAGTTAAGATCTTGACAACTAAGCAAAATTTGTTGGGAGTGGTTAGAATTAAAGTTTCTTGTTTCGTAGACAATAATCTCGTATAATACCAGAATATATTGATTACTTGAACATGAGTAAAATTAATCATATAGTATCTGATCATCCTGTTAATAATTCATAAGAGGTAATTACAAAAAGATTGGAAGTACCTTAAAAAAATTATGATTAACAAAATTTAGCATTATCATAAGTAATAACACTCAAAAAGCCATCAGGGTATTTGGCTGAGCTCAAAGAAACCTAAGAATAACAAAAAAAGTAAATTTATAATCAATAATAAAGATTTCATTAATGGAGAGAAGAATTTAGTGAAGCAAATAAAGCATATAGAAAGATTAGATAAGCTTATAAGTAGAAAAACTTTTAATATTAGATCAGGAATAATTGGTATAGATAATCCAACAATTGAAAATTCAGAATTGTACAAAGAAGATCATCAGAAATATAAGTAAAAACAAGAAAGTCGAATAATTCATTCTATTAATAGATAAAAATGTATAATAATCATATTTGATTTTAGCATTGGAAAAATATTCAAGTGCTAATCCTAACATTGAATTTGATAATAAAAAATATGATGATAGTCTAAGTCAAATCAATTAAACCAGAAAATTAGGATAATATCCTTATTAAACATTTGAGATGGATTATAAATGGATGCATAAGAAAACTATTAATCCATGTTAAAATACATAATAAAGATTATTTGGAGGAGTAAATAAAATTAGTAGAGCTGCATCTTTAAGAGCTGAGAATATCAAGAATTAAGAACTTAGAGGAAGAGATTATAATTGTATATCTTTAACAAAGGTTTAATGATAAATATATATAATCTCAATTTTTAAGTTTTCTAAATATGTCATTTAATCTAATAAAGCAAAATGGTTATTTGAATTATAATTCCTCTTATAATTAATATACTCTTGTTTTGTTTTACTATAAGGCTGTTGTTTATTTATTAATTTCTGATAAGACTTTATTTAAAAACTATGTTAATAGATTAACTTATATATTGATTGTTTCCTCATCAATTTTTTGACTTATTTTTTTTTGCTTATCACAACAATCTCCAAAACAAACTCCTTTTCTACAAAAATTTGTATGAATATTATTTTCATCCTTGCAATAAACATATCCTTTATAATATTAATTACAAAGATCCTTTTTGATCATTAGTTTAGTTTAATTGGAAATTGATTTTAAATTTTCAAGACTATAAGAACATTTATTAGTTTGACAATTCAATTATTTAACAAATAGTTTTAATGGATCAAAATATTCTGAATATTTCTATATTTCCTTACAAACTGGACATTTAAATTCAAATTTTTTTAGAATTTCCAATTCATTTTTTAATTCTTCTTCTATCTTAAAATCAAAAAATTCAGTATTCACTTTGCTAATAAAATAGTAATATAATTTTACTCTTTGTGTTTATGTGTGATTCCTAAAATTTGAGCTAATTCTTAAATAGAAACAACTTAAATATTTTTACATAGACGATCTATGGGATCAAATATTTAAGTTGAGAGATAATAATGATAATCAATGGTTAAATTCTCACTCAATAATTCATCTACAGTATAAGCTCTATATGATAAATTCTTCTAAGTTGGATCATCACAAATAACAAATCGAATAAAATGATTGACTAAACTTTAGGGTGATCTTCCATATTTATTTACCATACGTAAAGCTACTTAAACATGAGGAGCACTAATAGAATCAGCATATTCATGAGGAGCTTTATTTAATTATTTTACAATAATAAAATCTGAAGTTTGTATTTCATATTTAATAAACTTATTTTATGTAATTAATTATTTTAAATCCTAATTTGATTTACCACTTAAAATATCAAATATTTATCTTATTTCTTGCATTAAAGTAATTAAATCTCCATGTATTTCATCTCTATTTTTAGTTTCCAATAATATATCTAAGACATGAGATTAAATTTTCTTAGAAATATCAGAATATTCTCTTCTTACAAGATCAATACCTTTAATTTCTCTTTTAAATACTGGTTTTTCAGTTTATCCTGTCATTAATTCTTCAAGATTATCAATTTTAATTCCTGCATATTTTTTCTTTTTCATTAATAAAAGTGTTTCAAATACACCATCAATAGCTAAAACTAATTTTTTATATTTCTTATTTATTTCTTTAGCAATTTGATTACCTAATAATAATATCTCTTATAAATTCTTCTCTTATCTAGCACAAATCATCATTGAATCTGTATCACCATATATTACATCATTACTTCTCTCTACAGTATTCTTTGAATCCATAAGTATTTATCTACCTTTCTGAGTAATTAATGATGCTATTCCAATTGCATAAAATCTAGAACTACTAAATCCCAAACATCCATAAATTGAATTAGCAACTAATTTAACTGCCAATTATTTAATATTATAAATCTATTTCATTAATCCAGTAGATCTACTCATCTCTTTTTTAGCTTATTTTCTCATATTAACTAATTTCTCAATTATTTAAGGTAAAATTCCACTTCCTGCATCTGGATCAACTTAACCTATATAATCTTTATGATTTTCTGTTTAATCATTCTCTTCTTCAATTTAATTATTCTTCTTCTTATTCTTTTTAGATTTCTAAGATTTAGTTTAGATTGTCTCTTCTTCTATTTAAGTTTTATCAACTTCAAAACTAATTTTATCTCTTTAAACAGTAGTAAAACAAATATTATATTCCATAATAATAGAAGGATATAATGAATTGAAATCTAAAAGTAAAACAAATTAAGTATATATATCTGCTTTTGGTTCAAATACTAATCCACCACCATATGTCTTTTTAGTTTCTTATTCTTTTTACTATTGATCTCTTTCTTCATCTGATAAATTAATCTTACTCATTTTATCTGGTAATAGAAATCCTCTTGAAAAAAACTCATGCATTAATAACATTTCATTTCTTTCTGCTCTCTAATTGAGTAAAGATCTATTCCAAACATTTCCACAAATATTTGTTAATTATCGAGTTAATGAAATTATATTTAATTTTTATGTAATCTATATTACATACTTAGTCTCCTTTAAACTCAATTATAATAAAGATTAATAACTTTAAGCATTTTCAGTATAATTCTTAGTTACATCAGAATCTAATTGTTAAAAATCCTATTTCAAAAATTCCTTAGCCAAATAAGTCATACTATAATCATTACTTTTAATCATATCTTTAGCTTAAACCCATAAATCAATAATTAATCTTCCTATAGTAATATATTTGCTTCTCTAAAATAAACTTTTAGGTATCTATTCTCTCTTTTGTAATCTACTCATCCTATTCCATTCATTAACCTTTAATTTAGCAATACGAGCAAAAAGTTAATCAATACTTTTTTTTGATATTTCATGACCAATTAAACCATCAGGATCTATTTATTCTACTTATTATAAAAAATATGATAACATTGAATATTCTGATTCAAAATCTTTAACTTATTTATTTTATCCTTTTATATAACCAGGAGGTAAAGGAGCATCAGAAGGCATTCTAGCAAGAGTTTAATAAACAACCTACTCAGGTATTTCAGCATCATTCAAATCTATGTTATTCTAAACTGTGTATGAAATTGCAATAATTTAATCTTCCTTATCCACCTTACATTATGTTATATTAAAACTTAATAATTTTAAATTTGGAAGAGGTAATTCACCATCATAAACTTAAAATCCATTTTAAGGTAATTAAAGAGCATGGCATGTTTTCAAATGAAATTCTTTTGTATCAAGAGTCTAACATGATTTTAATTAGAGCCAACATGGTCCTCTTACTTTATTATATATCAGAAATTATTCTACTAATGTCTAAGTTGATTATAATGCATATTTAAATATTGGATTATCAATTCTAACTGGCATTTATGATCCATGTTTAAGAGTATATGAAACTTCTAAATATTATTATTAATTTGTTGAAATGTCAGCTATTTCAAATGCATATTATCTATCAACAAATTAATAAGTATAATCTTTTTATCCTAATCCTAATTACTTTTTCATTAAAGCTTATAATTCTTATATTAATTGTTATTCTGAATATTTTCCATTTTCATAAGATAAATATATTGTTTTGCGATAATCTTCAAAATACAATGAACATGAATCATAAACATTTAGTTTTTAGTTCTTTACTTTACCAAATACAAATAAACTTCCTGGAAATCTCATTTAATCTTCATAAATATCAATCCAATACAATAATATTGAACCATTTTTTTCAACAATATCCATTATATCTCTTTCTCCTTTAATTATTTAGTTCATACTAATTGTTGATTAATCATTCTTCATTTATGGAATCTCTACTTTCAATTCCACTTATCTATGAATTGGTAATTATTTTTATTGCACTGCTTTAACCTATTATTATTCCATTTTTAGTTGCATTTCTCTTTCTCTTTAACTCTCCAAAAGGCTCACAATTTCATCAAGATCTTCCTCTTTAAATTCTTATTTTTATTTTGGCTTAAGAGGTTAATTGAATTAAGCTTTATATAGCTCATCACTGTTTGTCACAACTTAATTCAAACTTACTTTTTCAACTTTTACTTATTGAATTACCTACTCTATATCATCCGCATCATCACTTAACTTTATACCTGTCTATTTTTTCTTTCTATTCTTCCCCATAAATTAAGTGATCTATTGTTAATTATCAGGTTATTTTTAAATATCTTCTTCTTCTTAGGAATCTTCTTTTGCATAATATTCATCATCCTCAATGTCTTATTCTATAAAATCATCAAGGTTTTCTTCTTTTTTTTCCTTCTTCGAGGGTGGATTCTTTTATAATTTGGCTTATCTCGTTTGCCTCGCTAATTCTTCCAATCCTCTCTCGTTCATAATATTGGCGCCTTTAATAAATTTAATTAATTAATATTCGATAGAAAACAAATCATTTTTATAATTCACAGGTTTCAATAAATTCTAAACAGATATTAAAATCTATAAATTTTAAATAATCTATTATATTCTTTGAATTATTATTATTTATCTAAATGTTATCATTTTAATATTTTAAAGGATTAATAAATATAATATTCAGTCATTAATGCTTAATTCTTTCAAATAAACTAAAATAAGTTAATAAAATCATTATAACAAAAGTAGAAATTCGTCAGTAAATAAATTTATAGAATATCTTTATTCTTTTTCAAAATTGAAGTTCTGTTATTTAATAGAATTTTAGTAAAAATATACTTATAGATTCTAAGATTTTCATATATATATTTGTTATGAAGGGAGAATCACAACTTATTAGACAAGTTAAAATTATAAATGTATACTATCAAAATATTTCAATTAAAAATACTTATGACGTTCTAAGTAAACATAAAAAAAAGAAAATGTATATATATTGGAAAATCATCACAATATTTTCATTAATGTTTCATTTACTTATATTTATATTACATGCATAAAAAATTAAAATAATTAAACTTCAGTAAAAAAAATATAAATATTGGAAATTTATTGTTGATTTGGTTACATAAGTATATCTAAGTGTATATAAATTGATAAATATATGTGATTTATATATATAAAGGAGAATATAAATATTAACCTTTTTTATTAATAAATAATATTATAATTATTTTTTCTAAAATTTTTGTCTGATTTAATCTTATAATTATGAGGAATTCTTAAATGTTGATTTATTATCTCTTGATTTTAAGTTATCATATCCTATCTTCCAATGATATAAAATATAATCAGTTTCTCTTAATCTTTCTAAATGTGTGGCAATCTAAACAATAATATTTACTGTTCATTGTAATTTTTTATTTTTTTTATAAGTTCGTATCTCAATAATTATTGTTGGTTTTTAAATAAATAATCTTGAATATTAATTGTTGTTGAGATTGATTTAGATTGAATAATGATGAAGATTGCTATTTAATTTTATTTATATTTCAAAATCTTAATCCCTACAAAAGTAAGTAATTGAATAGGAAAGTCTTCATATTAAAGAATATTTCAAAGTATTGTTTAAAGTTATCTAACATTTATATATTATATTAAGGAGGTGAATACTTGAAAAACATAAAAATAGAACAATTGTATAACTTGATTAGGGGTATATCAAAATTGCTAATTTAGAGTAGATGACAACCTTATGGATATGTAATATTAATTTAAATTCTTAGAATTAAGCTTAGGGATGATTAACAATTTTGGAATACTTTTTCAGAGAAATTACTAATTAAAGTGATAAACTACTAATTCAAGTTTAAATACAACATCATTCTAAACATTGGATACTATAATAGAGATGTAATGCTTAAAATCATGTAATTCAAATAAATGTAATTATTTAGAACAAATTGCAAATCTTCTTGAAACAATTGATATTTTTTAATGAGAAAATAAGACTTGAATCTTTTATATAATATTTAAATTTTATGATGTAATAGAGAGAAGGAGCATCTTCGGAATGGCAGAAATTCTTGGAATATACAAAGAATGCGAATCCACTTGATTATGGGAAGATTGGCTAATATGTCAAAATAAAATTAACTAAGTTTCCTACAGATCATTTCTTAATTGATTATTATGAAAATGTATTTTCAAAGTAAATGATAACTTAATTGAAATATAGTGTGACTAATTCAAAAAATAGAAAAAAATGGCATTAAATGGATAAATATCTATTAATTTGGTGTGTAGCAAAATTGCTATAAGTATAAGAAAGAGCAAACTTAGTTCCTGTAAATTAACTGTTTATTGGTAGAATGATAAAGATTGGGATATAATTTCAGAAGTGTTATAAGTTGATACATAATTAATAAAACTTAAATGGATTTCATTGTTACATTCTAATCTTAGAATTCATCAATGGACAAGAGAGGAAGATCAAATTCTATAAGATATAGCAGAGTAAATCATATTTTTATTATGTTTAAGATAATTTTATGATAAAAATAATTGGACAGAGTTGACAATTAAATTTAATTCACTTTCTAAAACATAAAGATATCCTAAACAAATTAGAGAGAGATGGAAGAATGTATTGAATCCAACTATCCAAAAATGTTTATGGGATTCAAAAGAGAAAATGAATTTAATTTAATTAGTGTATAAATATGGAAAAAGATGGTCATTAATATAACATCATATTAAAGGTAGAAGTGAAAATTAAATTAAGAACTAATATAATGGGATTATGAGAAACTTAAAAAAAGTAAAAGTAAATTATGCTTTATTTATAATAGATTACAAATGAATAAGAAAGGGAATTACTTCTAAATATCATATAAAATCCAAATTAATAAATGTAAAACTTGATTGATGATTATTATCTTAAAGTAATTACTACAAAAGAAACATAAAAAAATGGATTAATTAGAGAAGATATCAAGTTAGAGAATAATTTAAGAATTAAAGAACAAACTTAAATATTCGAATAAGCACCAGAAACTCAAAAAATATTATAGTTTTAATGTAAACCATCCAGTAATTTTAGTTCCATCTACTTTTGAAAACCAAATTTAAAATCTTCCTTAATTGAACAATGTCTATTAAAATCCTTCATATTAACTTCATCATCATAATTCTTTAGTCTAGTATCCACTTCCTTTATATCAACCATATTAATACATTTAGTAATACAATTCCTATAAACCAAACTTTTATTCACAGAACTATGCTCACATAAGGTTTCCTTATTACATGTGAGTTTTTTTTATTAATATTAAATAATTAACATCATATAATACAACAAAAATTTATTTTATTTAACAAATAAAGGATATTTGAGTTTAATTGAATAATTAATTCAAAACACACAGAAATATACATATATCATAAATCGGAATCATAATCGTCATCTGATGCTTATTATTAACTTCCAGATTACTAGTAAACTTTCTTAATGATAGGATTACAGATTCTAAATAATCAATTTATATATATACTTTTCCAATTCTTTAAGTTCTTCTTCATAGTCTTCTTTTTCAGCATTTTGATTCTTATCTAACCAATCTTAACTATCTTTTAATGCATCCTTAATAGTATCTTTTTCATCATCAGATAATTTGTTAGCCAATTTTTCTGGATCCTAAAAAATATAAATATAAAAACATACTTCAATTTGATTTTTCATTGAATAAATATAACTTTCCAAAGAATTCTTAGAATCAATTCTTTCCTTAGCAGCTTTATCTTATTCAGCAAACTCTTCAGCTTCTCTTAACATTTTATCAATTTCTTCCTTTGATAATCTACCTGAATCGTTTGTAATAACAATTTAATTCTTATTTCCTGTTCCTTTATCTTAGGCAGCAACTTAAAGGATACCATTGGCATCAATTTCAAAAGTAACTTCAATTTAAGGAGTTCCTCTAGGAGCTGGTGGAATACCTGTTAAATCAAAAGTTCCTAATTTGTGATTATCTTTAACAAGTGGTCTTTCACCTTCAAAAACTGAAATTGTGACAGTTTATTATTGATCTTAATAGGTTGTAAAGACTTAAGATTTTTTGGTTGGAATATAAGATCCCTTTGGAATAATTTTAGTCATGACTCCTCCAACAGTTTCAATACCCAAACTCAAAGGAGTTGCATCAATAACAATTAATCCTTTGGTTTCATTAGATTCTTCACCACAAATAATACCACCTTAAATGGCAGCACCATAACAAACAGCTTCATCTGGATTGATACCAGTGTTAGCTTCCTTTCCATTAAAGAAATCTTTAACAATTTATCTGATTTTTGGAATTCTGCTTGAACCTCCAACCAAAACGATTTCATGAATTTCAGTCTTTTTGAATTTAGAGTCTTCCAAAGCAGTTTACATGGGACCAGTTGTCTTTTTAAAGAGATCATTGTTCAATTCTTCAAATTTAGCTCTAGTGAGTACTTCATTGAAATCTAAACCATCAACTAAATCTTCAATTTCGATTTTAGTTTCATGAGTAGCAGAGAGAGCTCTCTTAGATTTTTCAACTTCTCTCTTTAATTTTTGAATAGCTCTTTTATCAGCACTGATATCTTTATTATGTTTCTTCTTAATAACCTTGATGAAATGATCAATAATTCTTTAATCAAAATCTTCTCCTCCCAAATGAGTATCTCCTGATGTAGCAACGACTTCAAAGACACCATTATCAATAGTTAAGATTGAAACATCAAAAGTACCACCTCCTAAATCAAAGACTAAGATATTCTTTTCTCCATCTTTCTTATCAAGACCATAAGCTATGGCTGCTGCTGTTGGTTCATTAAGAATTCTAACAACATTCAATCCTGAAATAGTTCCTGCATCTTTAGTAGCTTATCTTTAAGCATCATTGAAATAGGCTGGAACTGTGACAACTGCATTAATAACTTTCTTTCCTAAATATGTTTCTGAGATTTCCTTCATTTTAGTTAAAACCATAGCAGAAATTTCTTCAGGGGCAAAGATCTTAGATTAATGACCTTTAATGTTAGTGACTTTAATGTATGGTTTAGTGTCTTTATCAACAATATCATATGGCATAAACTTTTTATCATATTGAACTGTTGAATCTGTATATCTATAATACAATAAAATAAAAATCTTACTTTCTTCCAATCAATCTTTTGACATCATAAAGTGTTCTAGCAGGGTTGATGGCTGCCTAGTTTTTAGCTGCCTCTCCTATGAGACGTTCTTCATCAGTAAATGCTACAACTGAAGGTGTAATTCTGTTTCCTTATTCGTTTGGAATGATTTCTACATTTCCATTTTTATAAATTCCAACACAAGAATATGTTGTACCTAAATCAATACCAATGACAGGGCATTCAACTTTGTTTGTCTTTTCTTATGCCCATGCTCCAAGTAGAAGTACGACAAGGATTATTGTTTTCATAATTTGTGACGTGTGAAAAAATAAATATTATTAATTTGTTTTTAACTTTTCTTAAATATATATATATTGAATATTCTAGAACATATAGAAAAAATAATTTATTCTAATTATTTATTTATATTATCTCAATATATACTATAAGTATTTTAATTTAAAAGACTTCCAAAAAACATTAAAAAATCTTCACAAAACCTAAAATATTCTATCTACTAAATATATGAATCAATATTGTGATCATAAATAATCTATTCATCCATAATAGTCTTAATTCCAATTAATTCATTAAATAAACAATTAAACCATCATAAAATTCTTAGAATTATATATTAATAATGTATTTATATGATTTATTATCAATGTATATATTATTTAATATAATATTTCAAATTTTAAGTGAAAAATGGCAATTTTTAGACATCAAAAGCAATAATAAAATAAATGATTTCCAATATAAGATCTGAGTCTTAAATCAAAATCTTCACACCAAAAAGCAACTTCTCCAATTAAATACAACAATTTAAACATGATTCATCTAGAAACTTAGATTCTGAAAACAACCAATAAATTATGATATCTAATAGTATGAGTAATTCAATTAACAATTTAACTCCAACTAAATAAAATTTTACAAGAACTCTAAGAAAATCATCTATCAATTAACAAACAAGAATTAGAGATGATAATATTATAATATCATGTTAAAATTGTGAAAATATAGATAATTTGAACCTTATCTAACCATGTTTATGTGATGTATGCTATTAATATTTTATTAAAATAGATTAATTATCATGCATCTTGCTTTAAATAGAAATTACTTAAAATTCCAGGTTTATTTAGTCAAGAGAATTTCATTTGTATGTAATGTGGAATATAGTATAAGATTTAATAATTGGAGATCTATAAATCAAAAACATTTGTAAATATATTGATCTATTTTTAAAGATTAATCTCTTCAATATCATATTGTTTGGATCAAAATTAATTATTACTCTTGGTGGTTTAGGTGGATTGACATATTGGTTTTATAGTTAAACATAAAAATAGTAGGAAATGTCATCTTTGATAGCTGTAACAGTATTGCTCATATTATTATTTCTACTTTATTTGGTTTATTTGATATTGGAAATATTTAGAGGAGAACCAGATATTGATTGGCAAGTGGCTGATTATAAATCAGAAGTAGAATAATAATTGAATCCAGAAGACTTAAATTTATTGGAAAACAGATAAAAATAATTATCTAATGATGGACCTACTGCCTTACATTAAATAACAAGTGTTTAATATCCATAAAATAATTTAAATGAGATTATTAATTGAATTCTACTTCATTTATTCATTCAATATAATAATTAAATATATATTTAATAATTTAATTTATATATGTAAGTAACTGCAGAAAAAATTTGTTCCTTTTCAAATCCTTTATCATCTCCACATGAAGTCAATGGATCCATCTATATGGTATCTGAGAATGGAGACATTTTGATAATGAATAATGAACTCAGAATTGATACAAGAATGGGTGGACAACCATCATCTATAACAATTGAAAGAGATCATATTGTAATTTATATAGCTGACATGGCACATTAAGCTATTACATATAGACAATTAAACTAATTATAATCAACTAATTAAAATTAAGAAGGAGCAAAAGATTTTGTTACTGAGTATGAAGGAATGCCTTTCTTAGGTCCTAATCAAATTATTATATCATATATCAATATAAGTAAATTTAAATTATATTTAAATTATTAGATGCAATCTATTTTACAGATTCAGGTCCTTTTGGAGAAACTAGTGTTGAAAATCCTATTGGCTCTGTTTTTATGGTTGATTTGGATGGTTAGGAAATAAAGCCAACTGCTCTAGCATATAGATGTTTAGCTCATCCAAGTGGATTAGCTTTAAGTCATGATGAGAAAAATTTATTTGTTAGTGAAACATGTGAAAATCGTATCATTCGATTTGTGCTTACAAATTCAGGAATTTATGCATTTAGGTATGATTTCTCAAATATTATTAAGTGTTTATCATCAATTCTCAGGTAGATTTGGACCTACTGCACTTGTTATTTCTTAATCAGATTTTCTTTATGTTGCTCGTTTTGAATTCTCTGTAGGCAATTAATAGGATATGGGTTTGATATCTGTTTTAAATCCTTAAGGCTAACTTTTAGAAAATATTTTAATTCCAGGAAGTCCAGAAATAACTGGTATGTGTTTTTCAATAATAAAACCAACAAATTTATATTTGACAGATAATTCTAATGGATATAATCGTTTAATTAAATGTGTTATTCCATTAGAAGATAAAGATGAAGAAAAGAAGAAAAAAGACAAGGACTCTTATAAAGTTAAGTGATTTATTTAATTAATTATTTACAAATATATATATATATGCACGAAAAAGCATAACCTTCTCTTCCTTCGTTACATATAGCTACTAATCCTAATATGAATTCTACTAAAAGGATTCATGCCAGAATGATTATAGAACCAAATGTTAAAGATATTATTTCATTACCTAAAGCATAATAATAAATGAGATCAAATCATCAATAATTTCGAAGAGTTCCTTTAAAAGTGAATCCAAAAGTTGTTCAAGCCTTCTCTCCATATTAAAGCTATTCAATTATTGTAATTTATTAGATAATATTAAGAGCTTTAGTGATTTTCTTTATGAAAAACATAAACAAGAAAAATAACTTTAAAAATTAAAGGAAAAGAAATAATTGTAAAAATTAAAGGAAATTCAACACAAAGAGAAAATTAAATACTTCTAACACGAAGATGAAAACAATGAAGATATAATAGACTCAATAATGGATAAGGTAAAGATGGAATTAGGATAATAACAGTAATCTAATTTTATAACAAATTGATGTATTTATTTTTTGAATCAATTATGAAGTTAATATTTAATGTTCATTTATTTCAAATACAATATTAATACAAAAGTTTTAAAAAAATGTATGATATTTCTTATCATATACATTGAGAATTAGAAAAAAAGATAATAAAATATTATGATAAATATAATATATTATGAGCGTTCGTAAAATTCATAGAGATCCAGGACCTTAAACTGAAGGGTATAAAGGTGTATTTAAGGGGGTTTCAGAGAATTTGAATGTTGGAGTAGGCAAGTATGCTCCACCAATAGCTTTGGAATAAAGAGAACATCACTATAACATTGGATGGAAACCATGGCAATAATCTAATGAAACTGTATATGAAGTAGATTACAAACCAAATTAAGAAATAGTCAAAAGGGAGAATGTAGAGATATTATAATCATTTTATAGTGTGCTAATATGCATCCACCTACAATACATATCGATCATATTAATGTACCTTATAAAAAGGATACTCACTTTAATTCTGAATATAAGAGTTATAAGGACTATTAAAATCCCCCAAGGGCTAAACCTATTAGAGATAAACTCACATTGATGGCCACATAAATAGTAATGGGGGATGACAAACCAAATTATAAAACTGCTTAACTGATTGCATAAGAACCTAAACCACCATAAAGATAATTGGTTTATCATCCAAAACCAGAGAAATATGATATCATTACTAATCATGAGGTAGATGATTAAGATGTTATTATCATTAGGCCAATTAAGAGAGAATAAAGAAGGCTTCTGCTTTTGATTATTGGAATCCAATTACAGAGAAAAAGCATTAATCATTTAATACTTCTGAGATACCTTAATATAGATTAGGTAGTAGAGATCCCATTACAGGGAGATTCATTTCCTGAAAATTATTATTTATTAAAAATGATTAAAACAACTCTAATTCGTATAATGAACTAGAAAAATGATGAGATAGGGAGTTCTAGTGAACAAATCTTAAATATTGGTATAGTTTCTATAGCATTTTTATAGGCTTTTAGAAAATATTCCAAGAACTATCAAGACCATTTGATAATAATATATTGCAACCTGAATAAATAATTCGACTTTTAAGTGTCTTTCATAAGATGATTCAATAATGTTTACTTCCAAAGGAATTATTTGCTGATTGCAACATAAATATGATAACAAATACTCTCAATACTAGTTTTGTATTAGAGAGATTACCTACTGAATTAAACTTGACAATATCTAGAAGTGTGAATGTGGCACCTAGTTGGAATAATACACCTAAACAAACATTAGAGTAAAACTATTTTAAGGATGAACCAGAAAATAGAAAGAGTGTAACAGACTAGAAAGTCTAATTTTAAGAATTAAGAGAACCTTTGACATATTAATAGATTCTACAAGTCTATTATATATATTTAAAAAGAGTTTGTATGCACTAAATTTGTGATACTCCAATTATAGATTGTTTCGTTATATAAAATATTTAATGTTTGGGATTAAGAATAATTGAAGGATAAAGAAATTAGAAACTTCGTTTTTGTTTTGATTTAATTATCAAAGATCTAATTGAATATCAAAATCATATAGTTGATTTATTATCTAAATTAATGTGTACTCATGATAGGAATTAAATCTAAGAAATTTATTTATAAATGTATTTGGTTAGCAAACAATTAAAATATTACTGTAATTTAAATAGATGTAATTTCGATTAATCTAAGTTTAAAGAGTTTAAGAAATAACATAATTTTTGTAGATAGAAATATAAGATATGTGAATCTAAAGAGAGAATAGACAAGGAAGATTTAAAAGACAATTATAACTTTTATAAGTATGAAAGAACACAATTATATAACTAATTTTGATTATCGATTCTCTATAAATTAAATAATGATTAATTAATCAACGGAAAGCGAATTCTTTCAAGAAAAAGAACTCACTGTCTCTAGATGGTAATTAGAAGACGATGATAAAGAAAATCAAACTAAGAATCTTATATAACATGAATAACCTAAACCTATTCTCTATAAGATCTAGATAGAATATCCAGATTATAGTTCTTAGACTCCATCAAATAATAAATCAAAGGAATTAAAAAGAATGATAGAAAGTAATTTTAGAAGAAGACCTAAAAAGTCAAGTGATGCTTGGGAAGAAATTCTACTTAAATGCAATAATATTAGGAAAGGATGACAACTTTATTTTTTTTAATTATTTTCCACTTCTTATATTAAATATCATATATTCAATAATATTATTAATCGAATATATAATCATTGTTATCTTTAATAAGTATTAATAAATCTGATGGATTATTATTAATGACTATGATGGATTATTAAATATATAAAATTTAATACTTAATATTTAGGAAATAAGAAAAAGTATTTTAAAATTTCAATTATTAAAATCTATACAATCATAAATAATATATTCAATAATATCATAAATACTTAAAGCAACAAAAATTAAACTATTTTTAAAATAATAAATACATTAATAGGTTTGTTATATTGTCAACTATATATATATATTATTTCTTATATTCAATATATGATTAATTAATTTAATTATGATATTTTTGATTATAGTGATCATCTTGATAGCAATCATTCTAGCTGGATTTGTTTATTCATTGAATAAGGCAGGACCTAAGAGAACTTATAATGTGGATTTGACAGGCAAAATTGCAATAGTAACAGGGTCTTCTGCTGGTGTTGGTAAAGAGACAGCTAAGAAGTTGGCTTTAAGAGGTGCAACAGTTATATTTGCTTGTAGAAATAAAGAAAAAACATAAATAATTATTGATGAAATATCTAAGATAAGTAAGAATAATAATTTACATTATATAAATTTGGATTTACCAAATTTTGATTCTGTTAGATAATTCGTAAAAGAATTTAAATAAAGATTCAATAGATGTGATTACTTAATAAATAATGCTGGTATTTTTATAATCAATTTATAAAAAAATAATTTGAATTAAGAATTAACATTTGCCACAAATCACTTAGGTCATTTTCTTTTAACAAATTTACTTTTAGATATAATGAGTGATAAATCAAGAATAATTAATGTATCAAGTGGAGCTCATGAATTTGTGAAAAAGATTCCTGATTTTTAGAAAGCAATCAAAGGAGAATTAAGTTTGGGAATGACCACTTATGCAACTTCAAAATTTGCTAATATTTTATTCACTTAAGCATTATAATAGAAATTTGATAAGGAAAATAGAAGAATAAAAGCTGTATCAATACATCCTGGATTTGTGAGAACAGAAATTTATCATTCAAAAAATGGGTCAAATCGTTTTTTAAGTGCAATTGCGATAGTTGTAATAGGTTTAATGTCTTAATTTTCATTAAATGAAGAGGAAGGTTCAAGAACAACTGAGTATACAATGTTTTAGCCATATGAAGAATTAGTACCATCAGGATATTATTAAAAAAATCAATTATCAAAATCAACAAAATTAGTGAGAGAATGTGGATTAGAAACAATGTTATGGGATTTAAGTACTAAGGCAGTAGATCTATGAATTATAATATAAGTGTTATAATAATAATATAATTAAAATTATAAATTTGAAGTCATTTAATAAACTAATTATAAAACATATTATTGTTGAAAAATTAACGAAAAAAAATCAATATTATCCATATTAAGTTTCATCAATAATGGTTGAGTGATTATTTTATTTTATTTTTTTGGTTATTTATTCTGTGCATTCAGAATTTGAATTAAATTTACTTAATTAATTATCGATATTTACAAAATATCTAATTATATTTATAATATATTTACTTTTAAAATATTTAATTTAAATATTCTATCATTTGATTATCTTGATTGAAACAATTTTCAATTTATAACCAATATTAAAATTTATTTTCAAATTATCCTAGACCATATTTTGATATCTAAGAAATAAAATGTTCTCCTACAATTTATTATGAAAAATATTATTCAAAAAATATTGTTCCATAAATACTAAATATAAAATAATTAATAATACTTATATTAATTTTTGTATGACCATATAGATAGATCAGGTTAAATATCTTTTTTAGTTTAAAAATATTCTAGAAATTATTCCCTTGTTTTACATTAATATGGAAATAATTTATGTTTATTATCAAATGACAATATTAAAGAAGGATAACATAGAACTCCTCTTCTTTCTTAAGCCATAGATGATTAAGGATTTTGAAGAGTTTATTTATTCCAATTAATTAATTATCCCCATATAAATTATGGAGTGTACATTTTAGATAATGCTAATTTCTATTTATTTTTTGGTTAATGAATATATTGAAATTCATTTTCTTCAAAAGGTTTTCCATTAAATCCTTCATATTATGTAGATGAGAAATATGTATGAGTGAATGACATAAAATATAATATTGTAGATAAACCTTTATTATGAAATGGAGATGATTCCATCTTTAATAATATTTCACTTAAAATAAGCAATAGCATTCTAGTTAATTACATTTTATATTTATCTTTACTTTCAATTATAGATTTCATCAATTATATGATTTCTAATCCATCTTGACATTCTTTTAGATCTGAATGTCTATTCAATAGAGTTTTGATTTCATTTAGAATTGATTATTTTAATTCGTTTTTTGGGTTTTTATTATCATAATTCTTCCAAAATATTTCAAAAATATCATTAACCAAATATATTGGTGGAGTTGTGACATTCAATGTATTAAGTGCATATTTAACTTTATCAACACATGTTAGAATATTAATTTTATCTTATCCTATATTTAGTTTCTACCAATTGTTCAACCAATAAGGTATTGTATTTTAATTATGTGTTTTTCCAAAAATAGTTGATTATAATAGTATTGCATTTCTTTATATATAATTAGGGTAATTTTGAGCTTATCTATTATTGAATGTTTCCAATTAGGAGAGTCTTTTACAATAGATAGATCCACACAAACAAATTTCATTAGATGTTGATGGGAATGGGAGTGTTAATTCTTCTAAATAATTTATTTTTTTCAATGTAAAAATAGCAAGTTAATATTAAGAATTCATTTAAATAGTTACCAATTTACAATTTGGATCACAAGAATATGATATGTATAATGCAATATTTCCATATCTAGTTGGATCAATAAACTTTTTTATATTTTAAGTTTTTTACTAAAAGATCATCATTGATATGAAATTCCGCAAAAGGACTTTAAAAACATGATTTTCTATTTCCATCTTACATTCTTTTATTGAAAACTGTTTACTTCTCAAACCATCTTTGAGGAGTATATAATTCTCCATAATAAAAGTTGATAAATTCATTTGTTTAAAATCCATCAAAATTACAACATACTACACCCTTCCCTTTTAAGGTGAGTATATTAGGCCAACTAGTAATTTCAAGGGACACATCATAAATGTTTGACAAAGCCTATACAAAATAAATTCAACATTACTTGCTATAAATTTCCCTTGTTTACATTGATAGATGATTATAACTAAGGTAAAATTGTCTCATAGTTTGGTAATAGAAGATATAATTTTTGTGATATGCTTTAATTGATTCCAAAAGTTTCAATCAAAATTATGTCAATATTCAATTTTTTGGCCTTATATGAAATGTCTTGATCTGTTAAAGTAATCCCAAAAGAAGATTAGAATGGACTATACCATGAATCCAATTGTATTAGACTATCATGACTAATCAAATGAAACAATAAGTTTATACTGGATAAATGATAAAAGATGTTAGTTTATTTCTTCTACTCTATCCTGTGTATTTGGTATCAACTCTTATACTTGTATTATTAGGTGTAGATTTACCTTCAACATAATGACAAATTCTCTTTATTTATGATTAAGGTAGAGCCTTTTCACTTTATATACTCTTTAAATAACGAGAACTTATTTAATTAAACTTGTTTGAGTATTGGGCATTCAAACTGGAAATCAATTATTTGACTTAATTAAACACGATATAATCGTCTAAAAAAATTCATAGTTTAAACTCAACCAATACCTATGTGTCTTTCTAGTTGTAATTCGAGCTCAACTAATAATTCTTTGTAATTCCATAGAGGTTTATCTACAAGTTTGATGAATTAGTTTTTGATGGTTTAAATTACCTACACAAGTTTACATATCAATATACCTCTTCATAAAGTTCTTAATCATCACAAGACAGTTAAATTATAATGAATTCTTGCATTGAAGCCATCAATTCTTCTCGAGACTTTATATAATCTACTAATATACTTCCTTTATGCGTTCTAAAATATCTTCCAACTATTTAGGACTTTAGAGGGATGCTTAATACTTCTGTGTATCCTATATTTATTCTTCTAAACACGATTACTGAAAATAAATCATTTCAAAATTAATAAATGTGTAATTCAAATAAAATATAAGTATTATAATCCCGTAAAATGATTAATATAATAACAACCTTAATGATTTTAGAATGCAAATATTTAATAATTATCTAGTTTGCTCTTTTTTTTATCTAGATTTAACCTAAATATTGAAATAATTAAAATATAATTATTAATATTACATTAACAATATTAAATCAATTTAATTTATTGAAGTATTTTTATAACCAAAGCCCATTTAATATTCAATAGAAAATAATCTATTCTACTTATACTACATAAATTGATTTCTCTTTCATTTGATAGAAAATATAAATAACAAATTTACTTATTTACTTATTAAAATAATTCTTAACATTATTTGATTATTATTTCTAATAGATTTCATAACAATAGATTATATAAACATATATTAATAATATAGATATGATATTTATGTAAATATATATGTAGAACGATAATAATAATAATATAAGATATTTTTATTATGTTCTACTTTCAAGAAAAGATTCTATAAATGATGAACTATTAACTACATAACTAAAACTTAAATTGTAGTAGAAGCAGCCTATTAGTAATATTTAAAAATTTGTATTATATATTTTATTTTATATGTCATTGATAAATATAGTTTGTTATTTATGATTATAATAAATAAATTACAAAAAAGAAATTATAAATGCACTCCTATTACGAATAAACTCCATTAAATAAGTTAAAAATATAAAGAATATAATTGTTAAATTTCCAGAATGAATCAAAATATTACGTTAATAAAAAGTATATTTGTGTAAATTTTTTAATCACTGGAAATAGATAAGTTATTATTTTATTCATCTAAAATACTATTAAACTATTGATTTCATATCTATATTATAACTCAAAAATTAAAATAATATCTTTTAGAATAGATAGATACTCATTATATTTTATAAATACATATAGTATTTAATATGTTGCATACGATAAATATTTTAATGAAAGTATTAAAAAAAAGTATATTTATTAAATACCTAAAAACATTAAAGTTGATTTCTAATATTAGTTATTCATTGTATGGTAGTATTTATTTAATTATCATATTTAAATATGAATATATATTATATTTTAAATTAAAGAGTTACATCAATCTAATAATTTTTGAGAATTTCTTATAAATTAAATTTTAATATAATAGAAATGATCTAAGTTGATCTTTTATACTCTTATATGATTATGTATATTATTAAATGAGGTTCAATATTTTTATTTTATCTTGTGCTTGAATGATACAATATGAAAAATGCGTTGTTTCACTTCTACAATTGTGTATTTTAGAATAATGAAAATTATAAAGAAAATATAATAATTTATATGATAAATACCAATAATGTTACAATACAGATATACAATAATGCAGATGCAAGAAAATCAATGAAGGTCCATTATTTAAGAAAGGAAACTGATCGTAGGAAGTTTTTGTAAATGTGCTCAGCAGTTTTAGGTTTTGGACATAATCATTATTAGATTTAAGAGCTTCTAGGATATTTGATCAATCAGGAAACGAAATAATGGATATTAATAGTATATAAATGGGAGCAAGTTATTTCATATCTAGTGTATATCTAAAATGTGTTATTAATTTAGGGAGAAGAGTTCAATAATTATAATTCTAATTTTTAAAATTCTTATGGCGAATCAAAATAATTAGTTTAATATAGGATTTCATTGTTAGGAATGGGTTCTGTTGGAAAATCTAATTTGACAACACGATGGGTTAATAATGAATTTTTTGAAGATTATAGTCTCACACTTTTAGATAAATATACAAAAAGAGTAATTGTGGGTGATTAATAATGTCAAATTGAAGTAAATTGTATATTTATCAACTAAGATTTCTGATACTTGTGGTTAAGAAGCATATACATCTTTAAGAACCTAATGGATGAAAGATAAAGAAGGATTGATATTTACTTATGCAGTGAACTCTTTAGAAAGTTTTGAAGATATCAAAAATACTTTATTATTATTTTAATAGCTATTTGAGAAACAAGAATATGTACCTTCAATAGTTATTGTTGGAAATAAAACTGATTTAGGTTTTGAAAGAGTTATTAGTTATGATGAGGGCAAATAGTTAGCTGCTTAATTCAAAGCACTCTTTTATGAGACATCAGCCAAAAATGGGTCTAATGTCAATTAGATGTTTACTGGTCTTATTAATGATATTATTCAATAAAAAGAAAATGCAAGAAAATAATAATTCAAAAAAGTTGAAGAAGATCCATAAAATTAAAAATAAGGGTGGTGCTCATTAATATGAGTTTATGATTTTTATTATGCAATAATATAGTATTTATATACAGCAAATGTATATTTTACTATTCAATTTATATTTTTAGATTTCTTAATATATATATAAGAATATCTATAAATAACCTAAAAGTATATATTTTTAGAATGAATAGTCAGTCTTAAAAAAAATAAATGAATTCTTTTAGATGGAAACATTTCTAAAAATGTTTGTGATTTTAGTAAATAAATGATATTAAATAAAAAGGCATAATTAAATAAAATAAGTTAAACAATTACTATATTTGAAGAAATAATATATGTTCTTAAAAGAAAGAAAAAGAATTATGGATTTATAAAATCTTATCAATTATAATATATTATTAATTAAAATTAATATATTACAAATTCTATATTAAGAATAATCAAATATAACTTTAATCTAAAGAATAAAATAATTCAATAAAATAATATCTTGAATTTAGAATATTAAATTAAATTGTTCTAAATGAATTCAAAGAGAGAAATAAAATAAAATAAAGAATAAAATAAAATATTTTAAGTAAAAACAATACTTGAATCTATATAATTAATATTAACATATATATATCATAAGAATCAATTTAACAATCCAAACTTTTATTAATTGTTCTCAATAACAATGAAAATAAAAAATGAAATTATTTTATATATTGAAAATTATTAAGTAATGTCAGAATAGTTCATTACAAAAAAACATAAATTTGAAAACAAAGCTAAATCTTAAAATTAAAAAGCAAGGTTTCTAAATGATAAAGAAGAAAATGAACATCCCCCTTAGATGAGAAATGCATAACGGTTTTTGTAATCCCATTTTTTTATCAAGAAAGTCGAAAACCAAAGGCAACTTAGGAGCTGATCACTCTTCCTTAACCATCTATCCATTATGCTCAACCTGTAATTAATTAACCATTAACTTTTATTTAGTATGTTCCAAAGCCAATTCCTGTACCTGAGGCAATTAAATAGATTGACAAGAAAATTAAGGCTTATCATAGATTGATGGAAAGGGAAAGAAAAGAGAAATTATTACGAGAACAATAAGAGATGTAGAAATTAAATGAAAATGAAGAGGATCAGAAAAAAGCTTTAGATTTTATGACAAATCCTTAGATAGTTGATTAATAAGAGTAAGAGGAAGAATAAGAGTAAGAAGAGGATTAATAAGAACTACTATCTGAGGAACCAAGAGTTTAAGATCAATAACCAATATCAATAAGTGAAAAGGTTTCATATTCTGAGGAAGTAAAAAAAAGAGAATAGATTTATGATCATACACTTTAAAGGATGTATGAAAAAAGATAAAATCCAGTATTATTTGCAGGAATATCACATAATCTATTAAGAGAAATTAAAAAAGAAGCCTCCTATTTTAAATATTACATCAAAAAATAAGGTATCAAAGGGAAATGGAAGGATGGATCCTGAAGAACATAAATTGAGAGTGTATAATAGGGAAAATGTTCCAACAATGCCAGATTTGATAATTCCGTCGTTTACAATAAAAAAGGATCAAATGGCTAAAAATATCTTGGCATATTTAGTAAATATATTAAATTGATATAATTCAAATAGAAAGAATATACCCCATTATTTAGGGGATATAAGAATTACGAATATCCAAAATGTGTGTAAAATATTCTTTAAGAAGAGATGGACTCACTGCCTAAATAATGATATTATTATTTATTTTATGATTATTTTGAATTTATTAGTATTGCTACTTGTTTAAAATATTAATGGAAATGAATTAGCGGGACATTATTGAATAATAAACGCGGGTTTCAAATAAATAATTATTTATAATATAATAAAATGGCTACTACAAGAATTCCATTTTCAAATGTTACCTAAGTCAACAAAGGTGATAAACTATCTACAACACTTGGGGAGAAAGTAGAGAAGAGTGCAAATGCAGAAAAGTAAATTCTACCTACAAACGCAGAAATTAATAATGTGAAAAATTCTTTAGATGAGTTATAATTAGAGAACATGGATAAATAGACACTTATATAATAACTAAAAATGCATAAAATGATATTGAAGCATTGTTTTGATGAAAATGATATTGTAAAATTATTTGAATGATTATTTTAAGTTGAGAGAACGAATAGCAGCAATAGAAGCATAATTCAGTAATTTGTAAGATGAAATTGAATTAAGAGATAATGTGATATTAGAATTAAGTGAGAAACTTGAATAGAAGGAAAAAGAGTGATTATTATTTTGTTATTATATTTTTGTTTAAACCCATATAAAAATGAATAATCAAAAAACAAAAGAATTCATTTATTAAATATAAAAGTAAGGTATTTTTTTAATTTATTTTGATTTAGTTTTGATGGTTTGCATTCAATTTATTCATACAAGTGATACCCAATCAAGCAACCAAGATTCCAATTAGTTTATAAAGAGATATTTAAGCTTTTTGCTTTTTAATATAGAATTCTCAATTGATTCTTTGAATTTATAGGATATTTGAATTTGTGTATATAATATGGATTATAAAATTCAATTTAATTCTGAAGCATATTATTTAAGGGAATGTGGAACTGATTTAGCACCACCTTCATTTTTATTCATCTCAGTATCAACAATAAAACATAACAATAAAGTATCAACTCCCATACCATATAGATTCATAAACATCTTGCCAATCATATATGATATCAAAATGAAAGCCTAAAAAAATACTATGAATATAAGATTTACTAAAGTTGGAGCAATTGGATTGAAGATATTGTTTTTATAAGCATCAGCCTTAGTGATAATCAAGTAACAAATGAAAGAGGATGAGGCTGATATAAATATGGCACCCAAAAACTCAAATAGTTCACCCACTATCATTTATAATTGATATAATTCATACATCCATGAGTGATAGCTACACGTGTAGCATTTCTTAAGATGAGATAAAAGGCATCATATGCAGAATTACAAAAACTCTATCCTGTTAATGCCATCATTGTATATGCATTTTAATTCAAGAATCTTATGAATTTCTCAAAACATGAGACATAATATTTAGCACATCTTAAAGCATATCCTAAAGCATTATTGTCACCTTAAACTGAATTTTTTAATTATTTCTATTTATTTAAATTTTTATAAATACATGGAAAAACTCTAATATAAATTTAATTGTCCAAACAATAGCCAAAATTAAAGAACCAAATAATAGACTACCAAAATTAGTAGTAAATCCACGACAAAAACTTTTTAAAATACTACTACTTAATGGATAACCTTAATGACTGTAATACCAAAAGCAACAACAACTACTTATAACAAATTGACAAAGTGCTAATGCAAAACATACATTCCAAATCAATCCAAAAAAGTATAGACATAATTGCCAACCTGTTTTTGCATCCCATTATAATTCCACATAAGGACTATATTAACTCTTATTAATCTCATTTGAAGTTGAATATATTATAGCTGAGAATATTAACCAATAAGCAAAGAATCCCAATACTAAGATTAAAATAAATACTGGAACAAAAAGAGCCTACCATTCTTCTCTTGTAAAATCAGCAGCTGTTTTTAAAACTTGAATAGCTTATGAAATCTTTTTAGCCAAACATAGAATTATTAATAATGATAATCCTCCTATACTCCAAAATACATATGCTATTATTTCTAATTATTAAGCATCATCTATAACTCTATATTCTTAATAATGGCCTTTAGATTGTAAATAAGCAACTGTTCCTATGGCTCCTACTATCAATAAATAAATCAATATCATTCCCCATACTATACAACCTGCAGCTAATCTTATCAAAAATGTTAACAATATAGCCATAAAAAATGCAATTCCAGCACAAGCCAAAATTATTGGCCATGTTTCTTCAATGTCTGCATAATGTCTTTAAAATCCACTTATATCTACAAGATTGCTTATCAATTCTTAATATTTCTCATCTACTTTTAGAGTAGGAAAGCACAAAGTAAGTAATTAAGCACTGGCATAAGGTGCTGTTTATGCAGAACATTAATAACAAGGAAGTTCTTTGCCAACTCCACTTTCTCCAGGACAATCTGAAACACAATATGATTCTGATTAAGTGATAATGTAGATATTTGGGTAGTTTTTGAGATCACCTCTTCCACATTGTCTTTATTACTATTATTATTATATCTTTAGTTTACACTATCATATGGCAAATATATTTTGGAAGCATCTCCTGTATCCCATGACTTTATTGCACAAAATATCATTAATGCCCAAACAGATAAATAGAGTATTACACATATGATATCTTGACATCCTCTTTATTCAATAGGACCATGTTTCAAATCTTGATTCAATTTACGACCTAGAATAATAGATATAGCTATTTACCTGTGTAATAAACATCTTGTTCAGGATATTCAAATTGTTGTTGTCCATGATTATTGTAATCTGCAAGTAAGACTTTATTAGACATTATAAATATAAACCATAATAGAATGATGTCACATTATAAAATATATAAATATAGAACAAAAATGAATGAATGTAGATCGATTCGAGGAATTTCATATTGAGTTATCAATATGGAATGCCTTTTGAGTGGTCGTAAATAAATTGGCTAATTCTACCATCTTTATAAATGAAGTCAAAATATAAAGGCACGAGAATAGTCAACATCACTTCATTTCAAGAATAAATTTATTTTTTAATTTCAAAACCTTATGAATAAAGTTAACATTTATTTGTCATCTCTTAAATAAATACATGATCTTTAAAATAAAATCTATAAAGATTTCTAACTTTTTATCCTGCAAGAATGTTTTATAATGCTAATTTGAGTAGTTTATCTTCAATCTCAATAGATTGAAAAATATAGAAGTTGAAATAAGCACAACTAAGAAGGAAAACTACTTAATTGACATTTCTGATGAACATAAATTAAATTAGGATGATAGATGAAATATTTATGGCATTTTAGTCCCATTAACATATTATCTGTCATTTCTTTGTATTCATTATCAAGATATCTTAATATGAGAATACATTATTAATTTATTCCCTTATTGTACTACTTATAAAATTGATATCTATTATTTGTTATTGAGTAATGAATTGACTTTCTATGATTACAAATTATAATACATTTAGAATATATTGCATAACAGATTCTTCAGAGGACATATCTTCTGTAGGCAGGGTTTTTCAATAAATAGATACCTTCTGAATTGTTAGAATTATTGTCACCTTTAATTAATAAAATTAATGATTTCAGAGAAGGATAAACTAATCACTTCTTATCTATCTTTTCGTGGATTACAAAAACAACACATTGATTCTTTCAATTACTTCATAGAATAGCGTTTAGAATAAATAGTGAAATCACCTTTAAATTAGAGAATTACTTGTGAAAGTGATTCATCCTTTCTTTTAGAGTAAAATAATATTCATCATAATCTTATAGGTATTTATCAATCAGAGTGGAAAATCCAACATTCACTAGCAGTTGGGATAAGTATTCTTTAAAAAGTCCTTTATATCCACACGAATGTAGATTGAATGATTAGACATATGCAGGAGATATCTAGTAAGACATTTTAAAATTTTAAATAGTGTGAATGTGCGTATTCATATGAAGGGTAGAGAGCCAATTGAAGAGAAGAATGTATTAATTGGACGTATGCCAATAATGTTGGGATCAAAGAAATGTAATTTATCAGGTAAGACTGAATAAGAGATTTTTTAATATGGAGAATGTCCATATGATCCAAAAGGTAAGAATAGAATTTTTTAGATTTTTAGGTTATTTTATTATTGAAGGTAATGAGAAGGTTATTCTAATATTAGAATAGATTGTTGATAATAGAATTATTGTTGATATTGATAATAAGACAGATTAGTATGTGTCTACAGTTTAATCATATCAATTAGAAACTAAATCAAAAGCATCAATAATTTTAAAAAAGAATAAATTTTATGTGAAATCTTCAAGTTTTAAAGATGCTCCTCTTTTTATTGTTTTTAAAGCATTAGGTATTGTTAATGATAAAGAAATTATTGAATTAATTGGAACCGAACCAAGTATAGTAGAGAAATTGTTAATGAGTTTTTAGGATACATCAGATGAAAAAGTTAAAACCTAATAAGATGCATTATAATATATTGGAAAATTAATTACTAGTAAATTTGGTGGTTAATCATCTAATTAAGCAGAATAAGCCAGAGAAAAATTAGCATAAGTCTTTTTGGCACATGTTAATTGCAAAAAATATGATTTCTATCCTAAAGCTATATATCTAGGATAAATGGTTAGAAGATTAATATTAGCAATGGAAGATAAAAGATTTGTTGATGATAAAGATTATTATGGAAATAAAAGAATGAGATGTGCAGGAAATCTTCTTGAATTATTATTTGAAGATTTATTTAAAGGATTAAATTCAACTATATCTAGTATACTCAAAAAGGAATTAGGTAAAGCTAATTGTAAATTCACTCCTAAAGATGTTACTATGAAAATGAAAGAATTTGGAGTAGATATCACTAAAGGATTAAATAGAGCAATTAAAACAGGAAAATGGACTATTTAAAGATTTCATATGGATAGATAAGGAGTTACATAATTATTAGCTAGAATATCATATACATCTGCTCTTGGTATGTTAACTAAAATGAGAAGTCAAGTCTAAAAAACACTTAAAGTTAGTGGACCAAGAGCTTTAGTTGGATCTTAATTTGGAATGATTTGTCCTGCAGATACTCCTGATGGTGAAGATTGTGGTTTAGTTAAGACTTTAGCATTATTAACACATATAACTTAAGAAGATATATAAGATAGTGTTTATAAAATTATATTAACAATGGGAGTAGAAGATATATGTCATTTTAAACCAAGTGAATTTCATAAAAATTATATTGTTTATTTAAATGGTATTATAGTGGGAATGCATGCTAGACCTTAAACTTTTGTTGATTAATTAAGAATATTAAGAAGGAGAGGTAAGATTAATGAATTTGTTTCAATACATAAGGATGATTTAAGGAAAGTTGTAAATATATCTGGTGATAGTGGTAGATTAGTTAGACCATTGATTCTTGTAAAAGATGGTAAACCTTAATTAACTTAAATTGATATGATTGATTTCAAGTAGAATGATGCAAAAACTGTATTTTCAAATTATGTTAAAAATGGGAAGATAGAATATTTAGATGTTAATGAATCTGATAATGCATTTATTGCATTAACTATAAATGATGTTACAATTGAGACTACTCATTTAGAAATAGATTAAATGACAATTCTTAGTTGTGTAACTGGGTTAGTTCCATTTCCACATCACAATCAAAGTGCACGTAATACATTTTAATGTCAGATGGGTAAATAATCTTTAGGTATAATTGGAATGAATACATAAATAAGATGTGATACTTAATTGTATCAATTAATATATCCACAAACTCCTTTAGTTCGTACTGTGTCTATGGAAGCTGTCAATCAACATAGATTACCTGCTGGACACAATGCTTAAGTAGCAGTAATGAGTTATTCATGTTATGATATAGAAGATGCATTAATAATGAACAAATCTTCTTTAGATAGAGGATTTGGTAGAACTGCAGTCTATAAAAAATCAGTTACTGAATGCGAAATCAATTAAAGAAATAAGGAAAGTAGATTTAATGAGAGAATTGATGAACCACCAACTAAAACACATAATACAAAAAAGAAATTTATTAAGAAATATCATGCTCTTGATAGTGATGGTATAACTAAAGTAGGTGCATAATTACATCATGGAGATATATATGTTAATAAAAAGACACCTTAAGTTCCAGATAATCCTTAAATTGAAAATATATAAATAGCAGATACTCCATCTGTATTTAAAGAAAAGTGGCCATATACTGTAGATAGAGTATTAATTATTAATAATACTAATGATGGAACTGAAAAAATCAAAACAGTTAAAACAATCTTTAGATAAATAAGAAGACCTGAATTTGGTGATAAGTTTTCAAGTCGTCATGGTCAAAAAGGTGTTGTTGGTCTTATTGTTAATTAAGAAGATATGCCTTTTAATGAAAGAGGATGGTGTCCTGATTTAATTATGAATCCTCATGGTTATCCATCTAGAATGACAATTGCTAAATTAATGGAACTATTATGTGGTAAATTGGGAGCTTTGGAAGGTAAATTTAAATATGGTACTGCCTTTGGAGGTGAGAATGTATTATAGGTAGGAGAAGAATTATTAAAAAGAGGATTTCATTATTAAGGAAAAGATTGTTTAATATCTGGAATTACTGGAGAATATATGGAATGTTATGTATATTAAGGACCTATTTTCTATTAAAGACTTAAGCATATGGTGATTGATAAAATTCATGCTAGAGCTAAAGGACCAATGGAAAAACTTACTCGTTAACCTGTTGAAGGTAGAGCTAAGGATGGTGGTTAACGTATAGGAGAAATGGAGAGAGATTGTTTTTTAGCATATGGTGCTTCAAATTTATTAATTGAAAGATTATTAATATCAAGTGATCCATTTAATGTATATGTTTGTGAAATATGTGGAATGTTTAAGAGTGATTCAGTTTGTAGAGGTTGTAATACAGATAAAGTATATTAAATTAGATTGCCATATTGTTGTAAATTATTATTTTAAGAACTTTTGGCAATGAATATTAAACCAAAATTATAATTAGTACCTTCTCATGAGAGATAAGAGTATACAATGAATTGAAAATATTTATTTATTAATTATTTTATAAATACAGTCATTTTTTATTAATATTCTTGATTGCTGTTAAATTAATTCTAAGAAATAGTGATATAGATATATGTTAATAAGTTTAGAAAATGAATCAATAAAAATTCTTTATTTATTTATAATAATAATAATAATAATAATAATAATAAATGAATAAAATGACAATTCATGAAATGAAACAAATTTTAGAATAAAAAATTGATTTTAATTGTTAAGCTACTTAAATTGCCATGAATAAATTAGGTTTAAGTTAAAAGACATTTTAAAAGATTAGTTATTTGGAATATATGACTTAAAATAATAGCTAGTAAGATTATTTTTCATATTTACATTCGATTGTAATGAACATTAAAAAATTGCAGTAAGAAATAGCTAAAATGAATTTAAAAGATAAATCTATAGATTGTACAGAACCAGAAAATATAGATGAGATTATAGCATTATTGGATTAACGAATGTAGAAGAAAATAACTAGCAACAGTTAACCTCGTATAATATCATACAGAGAGAAAACTCTAGAGAGAGATGAGAAGAAATCAAGAATTATAAAAATGAATCATTAATAGATAAAATCAATAACAGAGAGAACAATTTAATAGCAACAATCGCCACCTAAAGATCAAAATACTTTCATTTCTCAAAATACAGAAAGAATCATACACAAGAGTAAAGTTGTGCATTATGGATAGAGTTGACAATTTCCAACAATTAAAGTGTTGCTGATTTGTATTCTAAACAATAAGCTTCAATTGAAGCAAGTACTATGGAATAATTAAATGAATCATTACGTAAATAAATACCTGACAAAAATCTAACAATAATGACAGGAATTCGTTAAAGATTGAAGGATAGCAATTGTAGCAAATAAGCTATTGATGAGTTTATGAATAGAATTGCTAAATTAAGAAGTGTATCATAATAATCAATAGAAAGTAATAGGAAGATCTCAACTTAAGCAATCAAATTTGTAAAAAAGAAGAATTCTAATATCATAACAACAAAATTAGGAATGATGTTGAAAAAAGAAAAATTAATTCTTCCTGAGGAACCCATAAAAGTTCATCAATTAAAAATAGGAAGTATTATGGGTGTAATCTCGAGAATTAAGAATCAAAAATCAAAATCAAAATCAAAAATGTATTAACAGCTCAACAATGAGATCTAGTGATAAGATTTTCATTATGATTTATATTGTATTGATTTTAAATTATTTTTATTTACTTATAATAGCTATATTTCAAAAAATAACCTTTATAACCAAATACCAAAGAACATAAATAAAATAAGATAATAGGAAAAAGAGACTTATTGCTATTTCTATTTATATTCATGAAAATTTATGTATCATTATCAATTCATCGAAATAATTGTGAAATCTTTTGTACTTAAATTGATATGAAATAATGAAAATATGATAATGTATGAATTTTATGTTATTAATATAATAATTTTTATGTTTAAAGGAAAAAGAGTACATTCTTAATTAATTGATATTTCATTACATGGCACTCTCTTTAAGTTTGTTAAACATCCAAAATTAAATGCTTTTATTAGTATTGGCAATGATCATGATTTATCAGTTTGGGATTTGGAATCTTTAAATTTAATATACAAAAAAGAAGGAAATGAATATGCAATTGCAGATGCTCTTATTCATAATGATTATCATATTATTGCTTCAGTAAATGGAACTTTAAAAATATTTAAAGGAGATGAAGAACCTAAAGTAACTTAATTACCAGAAATTCCTCTTTCAATATGTGTTCATAAAGATTAACTATATGTTGGTACAACATCTGAAAAATTATTAATATACGATTTAGACACTGTTGAATTAAAATCTATCTAAAACAAACAACCTTGGGTAACTTAACTAAGATCTCATGATGATACATTATACATTATGGGAAATAAAATATCATTTAATGAGAATACTGTTGATTTAGGGCATAAAGGTTAAATTATGCATCACTCTATTCTTGGAAATAAAATTTTAACCGGAGATTCTAGTGGCAAAGCTATATTATCTACATTCCCAGAATTTACAAAGCTTTATGAATATCAAATGGAAAGTGCTGTGGTTTAGCTTGCCATTATAGAAAATAAAGAACAATTATCCTTAATTATTGGTACTCTTGATCCAGGAATTGTTATCATAACAAATGGAGAAATCACAAAGATTGAAGACAGAGCTGCTCCATTTATAATTTGTTCTTAAAATAGAATAATTAACAGATCAAATATCTTAACAAGATAAGCATATTGTGATGTTTATGAATGATATAATGATATCTATTACATCTGTTTAAGTTAATCAGTATTAATAAAAATTAGTAATATAGATGATGTATATATTCAACAACATTCTTTTTTCTTTGCTTTATTTCTATCATTATTATCATTTTTAATAACAAAAGAACTTTCATTTTAATAAATTAATACCTTTTTATTATACTTTCTTCTAATTTAATGACTCCTTTCTCTATCATTGATTCCACAAGCTCATAAAATATCAAATCTACTTTGTCATTCAATTTAACACTTATTTAATAACTACGAGTAAAATTATGTTATTATGCAAATTGATTTAAATATTCTTCTGTTTAGTATTCTTCTCTCTCTCCTTATAATAAGTCTGTTTTATTTTGAATTAAGAATATAGGAACTTCATCAGCAATATCTTTAACAACATTACGCCAAGACAAAGCGGCTTCCAAAGATTTCTTATTTGTGATGTCACACATAATTAAACAACCTTTTGCTTATCTTATAAACATTTTAGATAAATTTTAAAATCTCTCTTATCCTTTGAATTTAATTTAATTATTACCAGCCACATCCCATATTTATAACTTCAATTTTGTTCCATTTTTTGTAATCCACTTTAAAGTGAAATCACAACCAATTGTTGCACTATGATTATGATCAAACTCATTAAAACAATATTACTATAACAATGATGTCTTTCCAGCATATGACTCTCCAACTACAATTATTTTTACTACTTATGGTTCATCCATTTTTATTATATATATATATATTTATCTATTTAATTCCTTTCTTATATCTTAATATCTTTGAAAATTAAAGATAATGTTTTAATAGTATCTGAAGAATAAGGGAAATAAGTTCTGAATAATAAAACAACTTTTAAAACATTAGATAACTTTTCAGATTGTTTGATTGCAAATCTATTTATGTATTATATTCATTTAAGATTAATATATAGAGTTCCTTTTTAAATTTGTAATCTTATTATATCAAAAGAACTAGAGATGTGTTAGAATATAATTAATTGATATATTTTCAATAATAGAAGGTATTCTTCATCTTAGAACTGATTTCTTCTTCCTCTTTCAAATGTGTTCTATTTTATATAATTGATTAAATTACTTAAAAACTAAGAGTTTTTTATTCAACAGATTATAAATTTTAAGTTTCTTTCTAATAAATGCTTCTAAATTTCCAACATAAGTATCTACATCATAATCTACAATCCCAACACCCTATATTGACTAAATTAATTCACTTTCTTATTGTAATAATTTAGCATCTTCCTAATATATAATAAATATCGCATAATACTTTTATGGCAGCCATATGAATATTTAATATTTCATCTTACTCTTCCAGAATTGTATTCACTTTTTCATGAAAATCAAAGAAGGCAATACCATTTGCATTTGCATTATTTTATTCATTTTTCATCATAGTTTCTTTCATGCATCTAAGATCTTCTTTAACTTAACCATTCTTTTTATTAACTAATTCTTCAGCTGCTACATCATCATCTGAATCTTCTTAAACTGTATTGACTTTTTTCTATTGTTTTGGAGGTACAGGTTAAGATTTTGGTTTCTCTTTATCTGGTATTTATGATTAATTCTTTTTCAAATTAGCAGCATTCTAATTATTTTAATTTCTTGGATCATTAATTTTTGGTAATTATAAAGGAGGATTTTATTTATCAAATTATTTATTATTATTATCTGATTATCTATCATATCCTTATTACTATCTATATAATAATTCTTCATTTGTAACTTCTCTTTCTTCTAATTAAATCTTTGCTTAATTTGATTTATCTTTTAATCTATCAGAATATCTTAAAGTATTCAATGAATGATCAGCTGATGAACTTCCAGGACTTATGCAAGCTATCATTATAATTCTAGATTTGTTAGATTTTGAAGTAAATGAATCTCTCAATACCAAAGTAAGCTTAGATGCTCTAAAAGGAATATGTGCTTATCCTTAATCCATAGATCTAATGCATTCTTTCAATGCCAATAAACTTTTATTGATTTCAGCTCCTTCCAATCTCCTTTATCTATTATTTGATTATGTATCTTATGCTCTTTCTGATCCTGCCAAATCAACCAATATTAATTTTCCAATATCTGAATACCCTTATCTTATTGTAATCTAACAGATTGAATGAGATCTTGATGATGTATCATTTGCAGCAGTTGCATGAGTTGTCCTGACTGAATTAGCCAATTCCATTAATTGGAATAGTTCCTATTCTGATTCACTTGGTTTTTCAACTAATCCTTATATTTATATATTATTATTCTTATCTTCCATTATTTATAATGGTGATTTGGCATTTAATAAATCATAACATTTTCCACCATAAATTTCAAAAAATGATACAAATATCTTAGAAGAAGGAGTTGCACTAATTAACTTATATAAATCAATGACTAATAATTCCTAAATGCTTTTCATTGTATAAGTTTTACCAGAACCTGTTTGTCCATAAGCAAAACAAGTTACAACTCCTTAATTTACCAATAAATCCATTAATGGAGCTAGACTAACATCATAAATATCTTTGCCTTATTCTACTTCACTGAAAGTATTATCAAATTAGAAATCATGATTTTCTACATATTTAGTAATGCCATCTACTTTTAATTTAGGTTCATGCACTCTTATCATAGGATTTGAACAACTTATAGCATCTATTTCACCTCCAACTTCTTCCTTTTTAAAGATTGGTCTTTTCCTAACACATACACATAATTTGATATTTTATGTTGTCTAATGTTCTTATATTAATCCTCCTTTAAGTCTAGTTTTATCAATCATGATTTCAAATTCTACATCAACATTTTTACCTAGTATTTAATTCTACTCTTCTCTTTCTGCTTTCTCTCTTTTCATTTCTTACATATTTTTACGACGTTCCTCTCTTTGTTATTCCATTTTTTTGATATTATCAACAACTGATCCTTTCTGTTATTAAGCCTATTATTAAGCAACTACTTATTATGCTTATTGTTATTATTATTATTATTATTATTATTATTATTATTATTATTATTATTATTATTATTATTATTATTATTAATAATAAGGAACCTATTCTTACTTATTATTAATTTCAATTCCTTTATATTCATCACAAATATACCATTAGCTTTCTTCAATCTATCTAACTTCTCTTATTTTGTTCCATATACTCCTAATCCTTTTGCCTTTAATTAAGCTATTACTTCTTCATCACTTAATTTGTTTAGAGCTTATTCTTTTTTATTTAATTATCCTTCTCTCTAAGCTTTTAATCGATCTAGTAATCATCTGATTTATTACCCCTTTCTTTTTATGCCTAAACTGATAACTACTATTATTATTATTTCGCTGGCTGCATCACTTTGAAATTTGAATTATTTTATAATTATATAAATAAAAACAATATTAATCAATATATTTTTTATTCATCTTGATTAACACTCTAGTTTACTTAGAATTATTAAATTATGATATATTACATTCATTAACACTAATATTATATATAATATAATAAGGTAAGATTTTAATATATATATATAAATTGGAAGTTAACTTGATACAATAAATTTTAATTATATCTAAATATTTTAAATCTGAAACTGAAAATGACTTTTTAAGGTTATTTTTCATGAAATTAATTCCAAGTTATTTTTAATTTAACTATTAGTCTATGTTAATATCAATTTTGTTTAGCCTGAATAACAAAAACAATTCATTAACAATTTCAAATGAACTAGAAAATATTAAATTTACAAGTTTAATTATCTTCCTATTTTTAGATTTTTTGTCTATTCTCTATAAAATCTCATAAACTTCATAAATTCAAAATGATTTTGACTCTATATTATTAATTCCTCTGTTATTTTATTTCATCATTATGTTTTCTTAAATGATGAAATTAAATATAATATATATTTATACAAAATATGATAAATAGATACACGTTGTAGTTTAAAGATTACAAACTCGAAGAAAAGTATTAGGAAATTTAATTAAGGGAAAAGAGAAAGCCTTTAGTTCAAAAAATTATTTATTTAACATTCCTTGTTGTTCTAGTTAAAGGGACATTTTCTATAATCACTTAAAGCCTTGATGAGATTTATGGAACAATAGGATATTTTGTTAGTGATTTATGCCTAATTGCAATTCTAATAATTAAACCTCAATATTGTCGCTATGCATTAATGTTTGTTAATTATTTAATGATGATCCCTTATTTGAGAGCAGATGATGGCAAGAATTAATTTCATTATTAATTAGCCTCTGCCTTAATAGTAGCATTTTAATTTGTAATCATTACATCTGGAGAATTTATCGATGCATTAATTTAAGTTTTATCAATTTTTTCAATTTACTTAGCTTATTTTATAATTTACCAGCCTAATTTTTCTTATGCATTTGTATTGTCAACCTTTTTAATTTGTTTCTTACTTTTATTTTCATTTTATTAAAATGTTGCTGCAGAAAGATCTAAATTTTAACTTACACTTATTAATGAATAATGGGATAAGATTTTATTGAGTATGGTCACAGAACCTTGTGTAATCTTTAATTTTGATCAATTAAGACATACTTTTATTTTAAAAGGATCCTTTTCTTTTATTGTTAAATGTAATACTAATGATGAATTAAAGAATTTCTTAAGGAAATCGAAATTAACTTTCCATAAAAAAATTAATTTAGAAAATTTTCTATATAAATAAATAGATAAATTTGACAAATAAGATAATAATATTATTAATTAATCACTTATAATTGAATTGAATTAGAAAGCTCAAGAAATTACATATTCAATATTTTCAGGAACCAATCCAATAATTTTGATAAAAATGGACCAATGCAAATGTAGTAAAATCATAGGAGAATAATAAAATTTAATTATAGAATAGTAATTTCAATTTAAATATCAAGTATTGTTAAAAAGTATCTATCAATAATTTAAAATGATACTTGTTCAAAAAACTTCAAATTTAAAAGGATTATTTAAATTAATTATTTATCATTATTTATAAGAAAAATTGGAATAAAAATAAATCAAATAAGTTAATTTAAGCAAAGTTTTCTCAAATTTAAAATTACTCTATACTTAAAAATCGATTATTTTGTCAAAGAATCTTTTAGATTTTACTTTCTTGGGGTACAAAGAAGCTCTTTTTCTCATTTTAATCGAAATTTTTGAGTGCAATATATCTAATTAAGTCTATATATAAATAAATACTGATTTTTAAGATGAAAAACAATTCGAAATGTTAATTTTTGGTATATACAATGAAAAAGCATATAAAATATTAAGATAAAGATTAGAAAAATTATAAGATTACTTTAATAATTTATACCTTACCTAACAATGTAAAAATATATTAACTTTTAGATATATCTTTAGTTATCACTCATAGCAGCTTTATTGGAAATAAGAGATTTTGATAATTTATTGTATTAATTACTATAAAAATCAAATAAATCTATTTAATTATTTATTAATAATAATAGACATTTTGTATTAATTTTATGATTAACATTTAAGAAAGGATAGTTAATAAATTTATATTATTTTTCATGAATAAATAATTACTCAAATTTATTTTATCTGTTGCAACTCTAAAGGCAAAACTAAACAATATAAACAGTTTATTCGCATAATCAAGATTAAATTTAGAGGTAAATGATAAGAAAATATCTTATTTTACAAAACTATAACTAGGATTGTAAAATATAACTATAATGGATAAATTTAAAATTATCAAAGATATGATTTTTCAGTTTTTTAGTAGAAAATAAAATAAAATCAATCTAATTTGATAAACTAAAAATCTATATTCAAATTATTTATTATCATATTCTAAATTTGAGAGGATTTTCAAAAATGAAATACAATAAATTTTATAGACATATATAAAAACAATAGAAAATCATTATTTATTAATATAAATCTGAATTCAAAGAATATCTTGAAAAAGTAGGATCATTAAAAATATAAATATGAGGCATTTTTTTAAATTAAGGGTTTATCTTAATTAATATATTAAGATTAATTATTTAATTCATTAATTCACATTTTTGTAAATCAATAGATATATAGATTTTGCTTAATACTAGTGAAGTAAATCAATAAAACTGCCTTATGCAAATCCTACAGATCATTAATTTATTTTATCTTAATAAAAACATAAACTAATTGAATTCTTTCTAGTGATTTAATTAGAGGTAATTAAATGAATACCACCCTTTTGATCAATTTCTTATTGTTATTTCTAAATTTCTTCTCTCTATAATGCCATTATTAAATGAGAATTTTGAATTATAAAAAATGAATATCTAAGAATAGTCTTAAAGTAATAAAATAAATATTAAAACTTTCAGAAATTCATGCTTGTTGACCTGATTTGTATTTATTATTTAGACGATTTAAATATGTTCAAATAAGTTTGAACAGAATCCTTATGATGATAAAATTAACTATATACTACTAAAAAAACATAAATCCAATAGCATAAAATTAATCTGTTTCTAAATTAAAGATTAGATTATATTAATTAAAAGTTCAGATTAAACAAATTTTATAATAATAGGAGACAAGTAGATGTGGTAGTAAAATTAAATAGTTTAGTGTAGAAATTATATGAATATCAATAATCAGCATAGTTAGTAGACATAGTTTAGAACTTAGTTTTGTTATTTTTTGTAATATTAAACACGATGATTGAATCTAATTAATTATTTTTAAATGGGTTGTTCATTGACATCCAAACATAAAACTGATAAGCTTCAATCTATTTAGTTGGCTTCTCAGATAACTTCAAAACAAATTGAGGATGATTAGGTTGAAAGAGAAATTTTTAATCATTTTTGTTTAGAAAAATACAAAATTTAAAAGAATCCTATAGTTTAAAGAAGAGCTCATTCTACAACGCCAAGTTTAATGAATGTTTAGAATAAAGTGGAAGCTCAGAATTCATATGTTTAAAGATAATTCTCTTGATCTATATTTTATTTTTATCTCTTCACATATAATTACTTTAAATCTTACTTATTGTTAAATAGAGTATTATAAAATGAAACAAAGATACAATTTTGATATAAGAAGTTAGTTTTGAATAAACACAATTTGGTTTTTGATATAATTAACAAGAGAATATATAGTATTCGTTATTGTCATCTAATTTGAAAGTATAGAAGAATAGAAAAGATAAAGTTGAATGGTTGACAATAGAGAAACTAAACAAAAGCATTCAGATAATAATTAAATTTTGTCGAAATTTATATATAAAACATTCTTGAAACAATAAACTATGATTAATTTTTTGATTTATATATGATTGGTTTATCGGTACAATATAAGAGTGCAAACGATTAAAATTTAAAGATGAGGATTGAAAGAAAATGAAAGCGAGATGACTATAAACAATGCTTGTTCAAATTGATAATATAACAATATATATAATATTTTGAAAATGAGGCTATTAATATTATCAGTCTTTAGTGATGGGTGTACATGCACTGGTGTAAGAGATTTTACTTTTCTTTTATTCCCTCCTTCTAATAATGGGATTTTTAAGAATATTGTATTATTGATCTTATGTGTTTAATTATTATTGATGAATTGCAATTGAAGCAGACTTTTCTTTTAATTGTATAATTCTTTAAGACATTGACAATGTGGCTTTGTTTTATACACAACCCATTAGTTTAATTTTATTTATTAAAACTTATGAATTGACTTTAAATAACAAATGAAGATGATGTCAGTAAATTTTAAATAAATTATATTTCTTCTTTCTACTTTATAATAAAAATACAACTAAAAGATAAATACTTATAACAACCAATCTTCAATATGATTCAGGTCAAGATTTTTAATTTGATTGAACACAGAATATTACTATAGTTAATATATAATATTTAGTTAATAAATAAATATAGATTAAATTTTCTTTTGATATTGTTTAAATATCAGATGATATATTTAAATAAGAGGTTATATTCAATTATGTTTAATTAATATTTAACTAAAATAATTTATACTTTAAATGAAAAAAATGCATCAGCTTTAAATGATGGTTTAAAAAAACTAAATATAAATATAATTATTTATCAAATTATATAAATTTAATTTATAATCTGAATAATATTTTTAACACCTTTAAAAATTATACCATAAATTTGATATATTTTTTTAAGTAATAGTAGTTTAGAATTTTAACTGTATTAATGTTAATTTAAGAATATTAAAAATTCAAAAAATTGAACATTATTATTAATCAAGTGCAGGATCTCTATTTGAATTTTTAGTTGGTCTATGATCAAGATCTCCAACAACCATAGTTTCATCCTGAAATTTGATTCCATCTTATTCAATTAATTTTGGTTAGGTTGAATTCTATAGATAGGATTTGTTTGTAGTTGTTAATGGATATGTTGGAGGAATATATAAATTAGTACTACTTGGAATAGGACTAAATGGTGTTTATGGCTGATAAGGTGAATATCCAGATGTTTGAGGTAAAGAAGTTATTGGAATAGTTTGATGTTGCTGCTGTTAAAAATAATTGTTTTGATACATTGGTATATCTAAGATCTTTTCTGGAATATAAGGTTTATCTGAAGCTATATAAGATGGAGTATATGATTATTCAGATGGTCTTGCTGGTATTGGACCAAACTCAAATTTTTTTTCTATTTACTAATGTATTTGAGGATATTGATCAATATCAGGTATAAATCGTGGATCTGATTATATATTTCTTAATGGTTTATTTAATTATGGAGATGTATTTTCAAAATCAAAATGTTTGATTGGCAAATGTTTTTGATCGCTTTAAAAAGATGGTTAGACATAATCATTTTAAGGAAGAATAGGATCTTCAAAAAATCCTCCAGTTGAATGAATATCTTGATTATTATTAATATCGAATTTCTTAATAGTTTTTTCTGTTCCTGGTAGTGTTGGAGTTTATTATTAATAAGGTGAATTAATTTGATATTATGATGAATGCTAATTTGTTACATCATGTATTATTTTCTCTGTATCTATAATAGGCTATGATTATGCAATTCCATATTTATTCCAATTGTATTAATCAATGATGTCATCATATTTTGTTCTCCTACATATATTTATCTTATTAATACATAGAATAATCTGTATTTTGAAAGGTCATTTGGGATTAAAATTATGGTACAACTCTTTTGTTAGATTACTATTATGGTATAGCATTAAATTGTTAATTATTTTAAGGTACATTAGTATTATCTTTAAAAGGTTAATAATTTTGACAAAATTAATTCTAAGTATCTAAAAAGAAAGTTGGAATTTATTTTTAATTAGTGTATTATTATAATTCTTTATCATGGATCTCAGGAACATATGGTTAAGGTTATGACACTGCATAAACAACTAAAGGATACAAGGGTCCAATAAGATCAGCATTTTATTAAGCTTTCTATGGTTAACCATATAATGTAGGTTATGGTTAATTAATAACTAATTAAGATAAAGACTTTTGAGATGTCTATTAAAATATTGGTTCTTCAACATCAAATAAATAATTATATTCTGGAGAAAGCAACTATAACTTATCTTTCTTAAATTCAGCTTTATTTATAATAGAAATTTTGTCTTCTGAATCAAATATTTTAAATTCTTTTTAATTCAATAAACTTTCACCTATTTATCTTAATATTTCACTTGCATCTAGAAAATAGATGTGTTCTAATGACATTGGAAAATTTGTAATAAAATGTTTAATTGCTTATTCAATTTATTCTTTCTAAACGTTTGGATTGAATTAACCTAAATCAATAATTATAATCCAACTTTCCACTTTACCTGGTGCAAACATGTAATCTTCCATCAATATTAATTTATTTGTAATCGCCTTGATAAAATGATTATCCAAAGGTTAACATAAATTTATATGTAATACGGGTCTTAACATTTCATCCCTACCTATAATTTACACTATTTTATCATATTAAGGAAGGTCATCTAATATTGTTGTTTCTGGATTATTTAGCCAATCTAAGTGATCAACAAAATAATTAACTGTCTCTTCCTTCATAAATTTATGAGCATATAAAAATCGTAATAATACAGAATCATTCTAAACCCTCAAATATTATCACTAAACATACTCCTTTAAATATTATATAGGAATGGAATCCATAAATCCTTTTAATTCTTTCAACTGTTATTTCTCAAACTAATCATACTGCACATTCTTGAAAATTCTCCTAACTGCTTAATATCCACTCCCAATCTTAATATAATTTGCTAAAATTATTTAATTTCATTTTATACATAATAAATTCAAATTAGCAAGATCTTTTTAATTGATCATCAGATTTTAGTACTGCTCTTAAAACATTCTATTAAATATATTATTTTATAATTTAACAATTTATTTTAACTGAATATATTATTTAATTTTAAATATCCTCTTTCTCAACTTTGATTTTTATTTGAAATTGTTAATTATATTATTAATACAAAAAGTTATTCCTTGTTTATATTATTATTTATTTCCATTTATTTTCTAAATAATTAATAAATGACAAGTCATATTTATATATTATATGATTCTACATAATGTTAACAATATTATTATTTGATACTACTAAAGTAGAAGCCAAAAAAAATAAATTATAGTTCATCATTAATAATTATTATTTTTAAGAATTGATTTTAAAATACAACATCATTCTTTCCATTAATAAATTTATGAACCAAATTTAATAAGGAGATGTAATTGATAATCAATATGAAATAATTAAAAAAATATCATAAGGTTCATTTGGAATTGTGTATTATGGAAGATGCATGAAAAGAAACAAAAATGTTGCAATTAAAGTAGAGAAGCAAGAAATGGCAAGTTTTAATAGTTTAAATAGAGAAGTATAGTAGTTTGTGAAATTAGATTGAAATATTGACTTTATTGCAAGGAGTTTCCTAAATTCCAGAATTATATTGGCATGGTCAATTCAAGAAATGCAACGTTATGATAACAAGATTGCTTGGACACGATCTCATATATTTTTAAAAGTAATATTAAAAGTTTTCAACTTACTGCGTATACAACATTGCTTTCTAATTATTATGGATTTTAGAACAAATACATAAAAGGTTATTTAATAAATAAATAATAGGAATATAATACATAGAGATCTAAAACCTGAGAATATATTAAGTAAAGCTGATACTGACAAGATATATCTAATTGATTTTGGAATATCGCGAAATATAAATTAAATAACCAATAAAAAAAAGAAGATATCCTTTATTGGTACAAGTAGATATGCAAGTTTGGCTGCTCATTAAGGAATAGAGTAGACTGCAAAGGACGACTTAGAATCTTTAGGTTATTTACTAATATACTTAATGAAATAAAGATTACCATGGATGAATATTGAGAAAAATGATCCAGAGAGGTTGGATAAAATAAGAAAATTAAAATAAGAAACAAAAGTTGAAGACTTATGTTAGGAATGCCCAAATTCTATTTTAAAGTAATTATCCTATTAAATTAAGATTTATGAAATATGTTAAAGGATTATCTTAATAATAAAAACCATCATATGCTATGTTACGAGGACTATTCCTTACAACATTACATAACATTTCAGATTAAGGATTAGATTGGACTAATTAAAAAAGCAAATCTCATAAGTAAAAAAGTAATAAAAAATAGAAGAGTACATAAAATTCAAATTATTAAAGTTGTGGTACAATTAGAAGGTAATTTATTTAGTAATTTTATCTAGAGAATTCTTAGGAGAGCATTTATTGCCTCAAAATTATAAAACCTTTGGAGCTTAAGATGAATTAGTTGGATCTTCAGACAATGGGAGTAGTGCATTGTAATTCAGTGCAATAACAAATTAAGGTAGTATGAAGAGTATTGGAGTGGGATTTACCGTAAGTGATTTGCATGAAGGGCAAGGAATACAGAAACATAATAATTAAATAGCTAGAATTTCTACTTTTGAAGGTATTGTTGAACATGATCCAGGAATGACTTTAAAAGCTGAATAGTAATTAATGGAAAGAGAAAATTAAGATTTAGAAATAAAATATAATCTATTACATTTCAAATCAGTCTACTTTAACTTCAAGAATCCAATATAATAATGGATTTTAAGATCTAATTATATTAAGAAATGACTTAAAAAAATAGAGTTTTGATTGATTTTACATTTTTCTTTTGTAATTATTAATTAGATTAATCAGATTTCTAAGTGGAGTGTATATAGATTGCTTAAATGAATCCTAAAAATAGTTTATTTTTTAAGTGATTAGTTATTATGCTTTGATTAAATAAAAAGATTTAAAATAAATGTTCAATCGCATTACAAGGTTGGCTGCATTGTAACACAAAGTTGTTAGATGCTTTGATCTTCATGAATATCAAAGTAAAGACTTGATGAGAGGATTCAATGTTAGAGTGTAAAAAGGAGCTATCGCTTTGAATGCTGATGAAGCTGCCAAAGTAGCAAAAACACTAGATCCAAGTGGTGGTTTGATTCTTAAGTCATAAGTTCATGCTGGTGGAAGAGGAAAGGGTATGAATATAGTTTAATTAAAGGAACTTTGTCAAGTGGTTTAAAGGGAGGAGTAAAGATCTGTAAAACTCCAGAGGAAGTAGCCAACTATACAAAATAAATGATTGGATATAAATTAGTAACACATTAGACACCAAAAGAAGTATTGATTAACATATAATAATATAGGGTTTATAAGTGAATGCAGTACTTGTACATGAAGGTGTAGACATAGTACGTCAATTATATTTAGCATTTATATTGGATAGAAATTCATAGAAGCCAGCTATTGTTGCATCAATTAATGGTGGAATGGAAATTGAAGAAGTAGCAAAGACAGATCCAAATAGTATAATTGTGTTACCAATTGATGTAAACACAGGATTGACTGATCAAATTGCTAATAAAGTTGTTGACACTCTTTAATTATAATCTGTTAGATAATAAGCAATTGAATAATTGAGAAATCTTTATAAGATGTTTATTTCATTGGATGCTACTTAAGTAGAAATCAATCCATGGGCAACAGATCCAAAAAATCAATTATTTTGTATTGATGCTAAAATTAATGTTGATGACAATGCTAAATTTAGATAAAAAGAATTAGTAGAATTAAGAAAAACATCAGTTGCATCAGAATAAGTTGATCCTCATGAAGAATTAGCATTAGCAGCAGGATTGAATTATGTTGCATTAGATGGAAATATTGGTTGTATGGTTAATGGAGCTGGTTTGGCAATGGCTACAATGGATATAATAAAATTATATGGTGGAGAACCTGCAAATTTCTTAGATGTAGGAGGTGGTGCAAATGTAGAATAAGTAAAGACAGCATTTGAAATATTGAATTCACATCCAAAAGTTGAAACAATTCTTATTAATATATTTGGTGGTATAATGAAATGCAACATTATTGCTGAAGGTATTATTAAAGCAGCTTAATTGGTTGATTTAAAGACACCATTAGTAGTAAGATTAACAGGAACAAATTCATAATAAGGTAATAAATTAATAATAATTAAAAGGCGCCAAGATGTTAGATGAATTTGCCAAATCATAAACTAAAGTATCAATTACAACTGCAACAGATTTAGATGATGCAGCATAAAAATCTGTAAAAATAGCACATACATCAAAAAAGAATTGATTTATCAATATTAAAGTTCATTTATTTATATGGTTAATATGTGTTTTGAGTCCTAGAAATATTAAAATAAATTTGTATATGTTAATTGTAAAACAAATTAAACATTTTCAAACTGCTTAACTTGGATCTTCTTTTGATGGATATAATTATGGATGAATGCTTGGTAAAACACCACCATCAGCAATTGTTGTATTGGCCATTAATTTGTTTAATTCATCATCATTTCTAATAGCTAAAAGAATGTGTCTTGGATTAATTCTATTTTTCTTGTTATCTTTAGCAGCATTTCCAGCAAGTTCTAAAACTTCAGCAGCCAAATATTCCAAAACAGCTGAAAGATAAACTGGAGCTCCAGCACCAACTCTTTCTGTGTATCTTCCTTATTTCAAATATCTTGAAACTCTTCCTACTGGGAATTATAAACCAGCTTTGTGTGATCTTGAAACTGATTTATGAGCTCCAGCTGCTTTTCCTCCTTTTCCTGCTTTTCCTTTTCCTCCTGATGACATTTGATTTTTGATTTATTTAATAATGTTTCAAACCCGCCTTATTACAAATATAAATCCCAATTAATCTTTTTTCATTTCTAATCGGCCAATCAAAAATAAGGAAAAAATTAAATAGCTTATATCAATTAATATCATTTAATCAGGACATTATTATCAATTTTATAGAATTAATGCTTTATCCAATGTATTAAAAGTGAAATAATTGTTAATATATATATACAATAATAATAAGCATAATTATAACAATAATTATAATTACTTAATGTAAATAATTATAAACTTAATGTATGACACTAAATTTCTTATCTTTTACAGTATTTTTATATTTATTAATCCTAATATACAATGAGTAAAATAGTCAAATAAAGAGTTAGTATGCATGATGAGTCAACTAGTCTATCAATTTATTCAAAGAATGTTAATAAAAAGAGTAACATTTATTTAATCATATAGAAAAACATAATCACAAATAAAATTCAACAAAACAATTGATTTGTATAGTTTCAGTGCCAAAATCATTAAAAGAGTGTGTTTATATAAAATCAAATGTAGAACTTAAATTAGCACTCAATTATATTCCTGAACATTGTTTAGGTAATCTTAAAGAAACACCATGCACATACAATCATAGAGTAACAAGAACAGATCAATTAGATGATGTTTACTTTTACACTCTAGAACTTCTTGATCAACCTAATTATTCAATAGAACAGATAGTTAATCTACTATTAAAATAACAGGATCCATGTTCTTAAATTGCTGTTGAATTAGTACATTAAAGATTCAATATCCTCAATGAATATACTTAACATTATTACATATCAAATGAAGAATTATTAGAAGTTGAATAAATTGCATAAGATTATCCATATCATTGTATAATACAAAAAGTAAACAAAGATAGTAGTACATTATCATAAAGAATTGTTAATGAATAATTTTATACACTTATGGGAGTGACTAGAGAAATGGTTTCACATCATCTTCATGAAACTAAAACTCTACCATCTATTTTTGATATTGGTACATCTTTAAAATTATGGTGTGATATTACTTTGAGTTCACTTTCAGGAGTATCACATTTTGATTAATATATTAATACTTATGAAGGAGCATAATATAAATGCAAAATTGAATAAATATAAATGTATAAAAGAACTTAAGTTAATCCTAATTAAATTGTTTTCATTGAATTTAGAATATTTAAACTTGAAGAACCCTTAAAATCATAATTACTTAATCCTTAAAGAATTTATTAAAATTAAATTGACTATTTCAATAGGAAGAATACAGAATAAGAATATTAACAATTCTTAAACTCTATGAATTACAAACGTTCTCTTCATTATAACAATTCTTAGCCTTGTGGATATAAGTAACTTCCATGGATATGAATAATTATAGATGTTCAAATTACTTACAAACAAAATATATTATTATTTAGTATATATATATATATTAATCTATTAATACTATATTTTTATTCTTTTCTAATTTATATTCATGATGTTATTAATTTAAATTTCAATATTATATATTAATATTATTGTAACATATTATAATATAAAAAAATATCATTAATTATTATGCAAAAATAAGATTATAAATTTAAGAATGTTTAGATTGAAGTTCTACTTAATATCAACTAACTTTAGCCTAAATAAGTTGAAGTACAATTGTCATATAAGGATTCAAGTGAATAAATTTATAAAATCATAAACAATTCTATAATCATGAATAAATAAGAAGATTAATGGATAACTAATTATAAAGCTGTCTTTGAATTTCATAAATATTAAAGTTATCGTCTAGATGTAAGTGTAGATGAGAATATATCAATAGGGTCAATTTAAGTATTTATAAATATTAAGACGATAGTTTTAATTGGGAGAATTAATACAAAATGGTACTTAAGTAAAAACAAATAATCACTTTACTATAAAATTAGTGACAACCTTGTTACAAAAAGGAACTTTATTATTTCAACATTGGGCTGCAGAAAATTTATTAAATACAGATGGTATATTCAATAAATCAGATCCTTTTTTATAATTTTATTAATGGGATGATGATCAATGGAATCTAGTCTATGTAACAGAATATATTTAAGATAATTTAAATCCTACTTGGGTTCCATTTACTATTGATTTGGGTCTTTTGAATTTCTATGATTAATATAAAAACTTTAAAATTGAATGTTGGGATCATTCTAAAAAGAATCCACCAAGACATAAATATATTGGATCAATAGAATTATCATATAATGATATTATGTTATCTCCAAGTAAGAAATTTGCATTAATAAATCCAGAACATGTAATTTTTATTATTATTTTTAGAAAAATTGTGGACATTTAAAATTATTATCATGCCAGATTAAATAAGAATAAAATTTTTATTCTTGGATTTAAAATAAATAAATTTAAACTTTAATTTTTATGGAATTTAGTTAAAGTTCTATGTATATGCATGTCAAATCACATAATCAATTAAATATTTTTTAATAGTTTCTTATTATTATTGGATCCATTTTGATCTAATATAATAAATTAAATACAGCATCATTGTATGGGTTTGGTGGAAAAATCAATTATTAAAATTAAGAATTGTAATTTCTCCTTTTCTATATTGACTAGTTTTTAAATTTCAACTTAATAAAATGGGATTCAATAGATCTGTCAAGATTATTCAAAATGCCTTAAATAAATTGAATTGCACAATAATATTTAAATAACACCTTGTTTTTTTGAAATAATTAAATAAGCAGAAATTTTCAAACCTAATTTTACTATTGGAATAATCTTAATTTTAAATTAAATCTATGACATTGATAAATTTAAATAATTTCTATAACATTGTATTAATATACCAGTTATCAATAGAACTAATTTTGCCTACTGTTATTATATTAATAACATTATCAGAAAATTTAACAGAGATTACTAAAATCGTAAATAGTAATTTAAATCATAACAAAGTTAAGATTATTTAATTGAATCAATTTGATTTGTAAAGCATTTAAACTATGAAAAAATAAATGTTTTTAATAATTTAAAGTGAAATAAAAAGATAATATGAACTTAATTGATTAAATTAATAATAATATATTTATATATTCACCTTAATGCTTATATTTGTATTTATAGAAGTTATAAAAAATAATTGTATAATCAGATATTAAAGTATTGTGTTACATTTATTCTTATTCAAAAAAGAGAAATGAATTAATAGTTATTTTTAATGAACTAGAATTCTGTTGATTAAAGAAAAGAATCATATAATAAAATAAAATGAAATTTTTTATAAGAGTCAATGAATAAAATAATTGTTAGGGTTATAAAGTAAATAAAAAGATTGAATTAAATTTATGCTTAATAACAGTAATCTAAATTATTTGAAATGGAATTTCAATCTAATTTGAAAGTAAAATATATTCTCAAAATGACATCTAAATAAAAATTTTTGATATAGTTTATAGATAATTATCTACTTTATGGATGAATGAATTATATATAACAATTACTTGTAAGAATTTGAAAACAATAATAGTTGATGTAATAATCAATTCTAAAATAATAAAGCACATTACTACTCTCTCTTTAATTATGATAATCTTACTTCCTAATATATTGATATTTATGAATTAGAAGGTTAGATAAACTGATATTATGAAATTTATTTAATCAAATATTAACTATTTATCTTTTCTTAAAAAATAAGAATAGCTTTGTTAAATAAAATTAGAAATTTAAAATTCTTTTTTTCTTAAAATCATATATCTATATTATTTCTAGAAGGGATAAATTATTTCTAATTAAGAAAATAAATTTAATTAATGGGAATATTGCAATAATTTTGACTTATATATTTACTTTTAAATTAATATAAGGAAATAAAATGAGAAAATACAATTTTTAAACATTAATACAGTATTTATGTTTACCTTTAGATTATAATAAATCATTAAAATACAAAAATATAAATTAAATTAATTAGATGTGCAGATAGAAATAATGAAACTTCTATTAAATTAATTTATGTTTAGATATACAAGATAAATTATTATGAATATTAAAATAATTAAAAAAAGGTGATTAAATTGATTTCATTATTTTATAAGTATAAGAAAAGTTTTATAAATATTTAGGATATTTTTGGGAATTCTGGAATTATATATTTTAGGAATATCGGAATGGAACTTTAAATTTGATTAACTTAGATTTCCTAATTAATATTAAATATACCTCTATTTTATGAGCTAACTAACAATTTTAACAATCTTAGTAACCCTCATTTTAGTTATGGATGTCTTTTTTGGAAAATATACATATGAATTTAGTAATAGCATAACTAAGTTTTTATAAAATAAATTTGAATATGGTTAAGAGTAAGGAACATTTGGTATCAATATAATATATTTATAGAATACATTTTGTTAATATTCTCAACTGCAGGGGATGCTATAGTTACAAATATCCTAGCCATTTTAATATGGTTCAAAGCTACCAACAAAGAACAAGTCTTAAAGATTTTTACAATGAATGCATTAGCTTCATCATTAGGAAATTTGGTTAAAATGATATCTGCACAACCAAGACCTTTTTATATTGATGATTAAATAAAATTGGATTTTTGCTATACTGGATATGGAGATCCGAGTGGTCATTCTTTAAGACCATTCGTATTTTATGTACTACTATTAGAAACAATAGTTTGTAAAAAATATTAACTTGAACAAAAATAACTTATAAATGACAACTAAATTTATACAGATAATTAATATTAACTGACATAGATGCAATAGTAAATATCATGGTAATATCTATTATTTATATACTAGTAATTAAAGATTTAAGATGTTATATCCAAATTCACCAATAAGTTTTAAGTAATGTTAATTTTTTTTGGGAATATTTATATTTTTAATCGGGATTGGTCGATTATATTTTGGAGTTCATTTTTTAAATTAAATTGTATTGGGATGGATCTTAGGAATATATCTATTATATCTATATTATTTCAGTGGATTAGAATAATTGATTCATTCTCTATTTATAGAAGCTAAAAGAATTAAAGATGAAAAAACTTGCACTAAAATTGTTAAGTATCTTAATTTAGGTATAATGCTATCATTAATTTACTTGATAACATTGATAATTTGTTACTTTAGACATTATTCCTAATAAATATTAGATGAGAAAGAAGAATGGAAGAAATTGATACTAAGATAAGATACTTGTCTACATAAAGGACATTATAGTTACGAAAAGAAATTCGAAACTTCAGATGTTCAATATATCTCAATAATCTTTTTCCCATTATATCTATTTATTCTTTATGAGCAACAACCTGAAGAATCTAATAGAAGTCCATTAAAATCTTGGCTATCAAAAAGTAACATTATAAAATTAATATCATACTTATTCTGTTATATAATACATGGTCAATAGAGACACATAATCAAACTGTTTGAGAAAGGAGTTCCTCGTTTAATGATTACATTAATCTTTGAGCATATTTACTATATTAATTATGCTCTCTTTTTATTAATATTGATACCTTTTATAAAAGCTCTAGGAAATACATTCATTTATAAATTTAGAAAACCTACTAGAACTATTTAAATAGAATAATTTGAAATTGAACTTTGAAATCATATACTTTTTGATTGTATTTATATATTTATGCTAATTAAATAATAATAATATAAATTATCATTTTTTAAATATATTTAGGAATAATAAATTTTGAATAACAATTATTTAAAAAACAAGTAATGAATAATAATATATATATGATATTTATTAAGGTATTTAAAGAGGTATAAATAATATAAATAAATAAAATACTGGAATTTATATGCTTTAATTTTATTAAAGAGTATAAATTATTGTTATAATTAATTGATTTTTTGAATAAATGTTATAATCTCTAACAAGATTAAAATTGTAGCTTAGAGCAGAAATTGAAATACTTAAAATGTGTTTGGACAAAGGAAAGTCAACAACAATTGTATAAATGATTGATAAGAATAAATAAAGATTAGAATAAGATGGAAAATAATTGGAAATAATTATTAGAAGATTAGAGGAAGGTAATTAGTTATCTTTGAATGAATAAGATAAATTGGATACTTTAAAATTAAATATTAGTAAGGTATTGATTCAAAATGAAAAAATATATAATTCAGATGAATAATTCAAAGAATTAATTTCAAAAGTGCCTAGAATTAAAGATGATTAAAGTTAGAATCAGTCATTCTAATAAAGTAAAAAGGAAGATTCATCTATTTAGTTGAAATCTGCCATTAAGACAATTTAATAAACAAATTAAATATAATAACAACCATAGGAAGTTTATTAATAATATTAAATAGTTAGAAATAATGTAGATAATATGATTTCTGAAATTTCTAATTTAAATTTACGAGTTGATAATCATAAGCATAATGATTTACAATAGTAAATTGATAAATTGAAATTAGAAAATGCTAAGATGCAAGCAAATTTCAAATTATTGAAATAAGATAATACTGAATTATTCTTTGTTAATAATGATATAAAGAAAATGATATAATAAATTGAGATGGATAATGAAGAGATCATTAAATCAATAAATATCTTTAGAGAATAGAATAGACCTATGAGCAATCCTTAATCAAGATTGTCTAATTATTATATTCCTTATGATGAAACTAAAGCATAAGAAGCTGATGAAATAATGAATAGATTAAAGTAGAATTGATTTCTTATTTGATAATTCATAAAAGCACTTCACAAATTTTTAAAATTAAAAGTTGATTATCTTTGTAACCTATTAGTATTAATTGAAGGTAAAGTAGTTAATTTTCGATGACTCATAGGTGAATCAAAATTATGATGTCCATTTGTATTTAGTTGATTACCTAAAGACAATTTCTATCTAAATCTTGATATCATATCTTATTTAAATGCATTTAATTACTTTCATATTTCTTTTGATTTAATTATTTCTCTCTTAAAGATACTAGATCTTTATATGAACTTACTTTTTTCAATGGAATAGCATGTAATTTAAATAACTTTTATTTTTTATTGTTTAATTCAACACTTAATCTAGCAGTAAGTTATTAGTCATTCTCAGGAGAAACTCGATCATCTTCCTTTTCATCTCTTAAAGGAGAATTATTTGTTTTAATATAATGAATCTCTTCTTCACATGTTTACTAAAGAGTTTTTATAAATATCAATGATTTAATTATCTAATTAATAAATAATATATTTACATGTTAAAGCTTTTATTAAATATTGTATCTTAACATGATTTCTCTTGTAGTCATTGGATGTGTTTTAACTTCTTTTCCTTTAATCCAAGGATGTTCTAAGCATTACAAAGCAGTCATTCTATTCTCTGATCTGAATTAAACAGTATTTAACACAAAATCTTTTGCCATACTAACAAATATCATTAATATATAGTACTCAGACATTGTTTTTGGGAAGTTAATTTAAAATTCATTGGAAATCAATTCATAATAATGTCTTTTTCTCATTTGTCCATCCCATAAAGGATGTTACAAATTGTTGATCATCATATAGAAGATAATACCTAAACTGAAAATATCAACAGCCTAAATTAGAGATAGAAATTACATACTTGACTTTAATCCTTTCCTAATATGACTTCTGGGGCAATAAAATATGGAGTGCCAACTGATTAATATACACATCCTTTACAAACAATCTCTTATCCTAAGCCTAGATCTATTAATTTAACACATGAATTTTCACAAATAAATATATTTTCTATAATAGTAGTTAATTTAACCTGGCTTGAGATCTCTATGGATAATATTCTTTCTATGAAGAAACACTAATGCATTTAAAATTTAAGTCATATAGTTTCTAATGCTTTATTCTGACAATATAGATTGTTTCATCAATTTATCTAATGTTAAACCAACAAGTCTTTCCATTATAAGATAAAGATGATTATTAGCTACTAACACCTATAATGAAAAAAAATATCATACCTTGTAAAGCTTGACAATATTTTAATGACAACAAGCTTTAAGTAAATTGGCTTCGTTCTCTTGATCAACATTCGATGTTATCTATTATAATTCTTATATTGTAATTAACTTTTATTGCCACTACTCGATCTAGATTACTACAAAATGAAGCCACAACTACACCAAAACTGCCTCTTCCAATAACTTCTATAAATCTGAAATGGTCTGCTAACAATATATCATTTAATTAATCTATCAATTGTTCTGGTTCCATTATTTTTCAAATATTAAATAATATTTTTATATACAATATCAATCCTACATTACTTTTAACCAAGATATATTAAATTATCAATTTTATAATATACAATTTCAAGTATTCTATTTAATTTTCAAATTTACAAAATAATTGAAATTTACTAAAGATTTATTATAAAATTGAAACATTCCTATCTCTTGCTCCAATATGTATTATAACTTATGAATATTGCATATATAAAAATCTAATTTATCAAAAGGAATATATATATAAATAATTTAAAATTAAATATATATATATATATAATAATTAATGTTTAAGGGTTAACATCAACTACCTGATTTCATAGCTGTAATATTAGTTTACGGGATTATTTTCAGTGAATATTATGCTTTTGTTTTTATCTTCCTACCTCCATTTCTTAATAAAGTAATTCGTTTTTCACCAAATATATTAGCATGGAAGTATTACTTATTTAATTGGAATTGAATTTACTATCATATTCATTTTCTTGAATTTAGCATACATTATGATTTAATATACCAAACCTGGATATCCTCCAAAAGATTTAGTATATGGTACATATATTAAATTAGGCTAAACATTATCATGAAAGAACTCTGGAAGACATAAAATAAAGAACAAAAAAAATGACTGAAAAAATTAATAAACACAGATAAAGAAGAATGCAAAATCATATTGAATTACATGATGAAAATGACGATGAAATTGTAATAAAATAATTTTATTATATGGTTCTAGCGATATTATTCAAGCATTATAATTAGTTTCATACTGTTTTAAATGTGATAATATAAAATTACCAAGAACTCATCATTGTAAAGAATGTAATAAATGTGTATTGAGAATGGTAATTAAATTATTTATTGTTATATTAGGATCATCATTGTCCTTGGGTTAATAATTGTGTTGGTTTGAAAAATCATAGATATTTTTGTCAATTCAATTTCTATGCTATATTGTGCATGATCCAATGTACATTATTTATTTCTTACGATTTGTTTGTAAATGATAAATTTGTGTTACAAGTATTATTAATTTAATAATTATTAGGAACTGACTAAAAATCAATAGTTTTTATTAACAATTTGTGATGTTACATGTTTTGCTTTAGTTATGGCAATGGGATTTCTATTGGGATTTCACATCTATCACATTGCCCAAAATATAACAACTGTCGAATATCATATAAATGAAATCAAAGCTAATGTATTTTATAAAAATTAATAATATACATTTAGAACCCTTTCAGGAAACCAAGAATTATAGATAACTTAAAAGAAGTCTTTGGTCCTGAAATTAAGTATTGGTTTCTTCCTTTAAGAAATGTAGAAAAGAGTGCCTTTCCTAGAACAGATCTTTTTGAAGTCTGAAAATCTATATATTTGATAGAATAGATTAATATTTCAAAAATAAAAAATCAATAATTATAAGCATTTAAAATGTATTTAGTTAACTATATCTGTATAATTCATGTGTTTCAATTTGATTTTAGATCCAAATGTGTTAATAGAATTTATTTGATTTTAATATTTGGAGAATAATTTACCAATATTAATAAATAATGAAAAATTATTCTTTAATTGAATTTTAAGAAGAAGAGGAAATCCCTCTAAAAGTATTAGTTGAGGAATAAGAGAGTAAATTTTAGTTAGCATAACCTTTATCTTATGAAATAACAACATTAGTGAATCATATTTCAGTCTAGTAACAAAGAAAATTATAAGAGGAGATTAAAATGTGGTCGAATTTTTCTACAATTTTGAATAAAACCTAAAACATTAAGGAATTCAACAAAATTAGAGAATCGATCAAATTTGAAATTTCGACTGAATTTGTGAATGAATTAAAAATAGAACTACATTTTTCAAAGAAAAATGAAACAAAATACTACAGTTTTGAGACTTTTATCAAAAAAATTTGGAGATCAATAAATTCTGAAGTTTAAAATATTGAAGAAAAGAAGAAAAATATTAAATCAAATGTGGCTATTCTTATATATTAAGGGGAATAGTTGGAGAATCTTATTTACACAATAAATTATTTTCTAGATCAATAAATAGTTCCGATTGTTATAATTACGAGTAGAAAACATATCAAATAATTTTTTAAATAAAAATATAATGAGAAAATATATAATAAAGCTTATGTTTAATTGTATAAACATTACTCATTATCAGAAAATCATGCCTTTTTATTCGAAGAATAAATAAGTGAATAGAATATTGCATATTATTTTGCATTTTTTAGAGAACTTGATTAAATACAATTAATTAAATGGATTTATTTAGGAATATTGACTTTCATTGATCCTGAATTCGTTGTAATTACATAGAGCAACTTGGAATTTATTTGTTAAATATCAGATTATTTTCCTCTAATTAGTGAAAAAAATAAAATATTTGGTATTTAATGGTTTGATTATTAAATTCAAGATCAAAAACTGAAAAATCTATCTTATTATCTATAGTTTCCTTAAAGTATTATTAATTCTCATTCCATATTTAAAGTAAAGCAATTTCATAATCCTTTTTAATGTATTTATAAATGGAGCCTTATTAATAATTATATTTCAAATTATTATGAACTATTAAAAAATACTTAAGAAAATACTATTGGAGTATTAGAATTAAATTCAGTTTTACCCAAATTAATGTTCGAATCAGAATAATTGGAATTGTTAATCTTAAAAAAATACATTTCGATTTCTAAAATAATCTTAAATTCAGAGAATACTTTGGTTAATTATTTTATAAATATCAGATAGAAAATTCATAATCAAATGCGAAATCATGAAATTATTACTAATAATTTTAAAATCTACATCTTTAGTACTTTTTAAAATATTTTTAACAAATTTCAATTCATTTAAGGATATTTTTCTATTTCAATTTGTAAATTATTTTATTAAATTAGGTATTTTTTTTAGTTTTTAAAGTCCTTACTAGCTAATTTTTTACATTACAGAAGAATCCTCTGCTTATATTGCTATAGCAATGATAATTCCTTTATTTTATTTATTTAATCTCCTAATATTTACTCTATTTTCTAACCTATACCACTTTGAAGATATGATGGAATTTTAAAATCAATTCAATATACTATCTTACATATTGAAATAAAACGAACATGGTGAAGTACAAGGCATGTCAGGTTTTGATAGTTAAAATGTTGAATTATCAGAAAATGTATCTTTATAAAATGGCTTAATTAAACTCCAAATTGAAGTTTAATAAGAAAATTAAATTTTAGATTTTGAACAAATTTTATCTAAAAGTTAAAATCAAGAAATAATTTTATAGGCTCGGATAAAAGAAAAATTAACAGTTAATGGACAATTTATGATCTTAATAAGCATTTAAAAGATATTAGATTTTACTGTATTTTTATTCACCTTTAGTAATCTTGTGATTTTATATGGAAAATCTTTTTGGGATTCATCAGTTATATATTAAAGTTGTATATTCTTCTTAGTTATATTTATAATTTTGATAGAATTCTTTCAAAAAGGTTTTAATTTATTTACATATACTTATAATTTTTCATTTTTGGCTTATTTTTGGCAAATTTAGAATGTTAACAACAAATAATTTTCACCACAAGTTTAATTGACAAAAAAAAAGTAACTTGCTGAATTATTATTGTCCAATGCAATTGTTTCTTATTGTTTTATAGCAGTGGAGTCTTATTTTAATTATTCAGGATATATATTTTTAGGAATTTTAGGATACCTATCTCTAATTTCTGTCATATCTGGAATTCTATAAATCATATTTTATAAAACTCCCCAATTTGAAAATTACACTAAAACAAATGTTGAAGATAATTCTGAAAAACAACAATAATATGAAATAAGTCTTAAATAATAAGATAGAATAAAACTAATAAGAGAAGCTAAAAAATTTGTAAATTATTTAATAAAAGAAATAAATTAAAAAAACTAAGAAGGTTAGCAAAGTTAAAAATAGTAATAAAACTTAAATTAGGATATTAATAATGAAAATTTAGCTCTTGTTAATAATGAGCAAATGTGAGACCTTTTTTAATTTTTTATATTTAGTATATTAATATATTTACCTAAAATTACATTTTTAATAATCAAAAATAATTTTATTTTTTGTAATTTTACAAAATACATACCCAAAATTATTGTTGCAACTCCATCATCAACAAGATAAAAAATAGTTATTTTTTACATCATCAAACTTATTGTTCTAGAGGAATAAAAGGCTTAATTAATTATTCAGCTTACTCAGTTAAACTAAATTGTATCTTTTAATTAAAGCATTGTTTTTGATAATTAAGATTTGCTTACTGCTTTTCTCCATATGAACTTAATTATTACTCAGAATTGTGATTTTTAACATATTTTCTAATGTTACTTAATTAAAAGTATACATTATTAAAAGTGGAAAAAATTTAATCTTTCTTCAATATTCTTTCAGATTTAGTCCTATCATGCTCCTTTTAAGCATAATCTTTGAGGGGGTAAGAGAATTTAAAGAAGCTTCGCTTCTTTGATCTATGGTTAAGTTGTACCTACAGCAGTTCAAATAGATAGGCAATTTATGAATCATTCCTTTTTTGGGTGAATAATTGTTCTGTTTCGAAAGCTAGACTATCAAGACCATGAGCATGCTCGCTTACTTGAAATGGTTCCTTTATTAAGTGCTTATGAAAATAAAAAACTTAATATTATAAATAGTAATAACTGTATTATAAGCATACGAACAAAAGAGTAAATTGAAAATCTTGAATAATAATTTGAGTTATCTTTGAATTTAATATTTTATTCTTAATTTTTCAATAATCATAAAAATACTCAAATCCCAAGCAATGTATGATCAATTTTTTCATATTGTTTGAAAAATTAAACAAATAGTTTTTCCAAATAATAACCATCGACAACTCCTGCAGTTTCTCTAATGGAATGCATACCCCACTAGGCTGCTCCAATGTCAATAGTTTTGATACCAGTGTTTGAGGCTAAATTTATAAATTGAATTGAAACCTTATAAAGGGCCAATTGTTGATCCGCAAGGAGAATCGTTTCTAACAATAAAGTCTTAGATTGGGACATTAGCTTATTAAGCGATTACTCTAAGTATTGCTGATGAAACACCATCTGTAGCATATCTTTAATTATGATTGACTTTGATAACAATTCCTTCATTCATTTTTACTCTATGATTTTGTTGATGTTTGTCTGAATAATTTGGATGAATTGAATGAGCCATATCCGAAGAAATTAAAAAGCTCTTTTAAATTGCTTTATAAAAACTATCAATAGAGGTTTAATTAGGATTGGATAGGATATCATAAATTCTTTTCATGTTATTGGATAGCAATGAAGAATCTGCTCCTTGGGCACTTTATGAGCCCACTTCTTCATGATCATAAAGACAGATCATATTAATAAATGTTTGGTCTTCTGTGATACTTTCTGGATTTGTAATGGCTAAAAGTGAGAAGAAACTTGAAAATAAGTTATCAATTCTAGCAGCAGAAATGAACTCTTGATTTAAACCAAAATATGAAGGTGGTTGACAATCTGAGAAATATAAGTCAACATCTAAAATGTCAGAAGTTGGGATTCCTGTCTATTCTGTAATCAAATTAAGTAAATGTTTATAGTGTTTATTTTCGAAACTTGTTTGTCCTTCAGTGTTTGGTTTTTCAATTCCAGTCAATGTCTAATAGGCTTCTTAGGCAAACACAGGTCTTAAATTTGATTCATCTAATTTTCTATATAAATATTTACTATTAGGAGCAAAGCTATTTCTATCAGTGGTTAGATGAATAGCCAAATTTGGAATCTTTAACAATGGTTTTTAATGATGGAATAATTAACTCTAATAAACATTATCTTTTTTAAAAACAATTCGACCTCCCAATGTTAATTCTCTATCAAACCAAGTATGCCATAAGCCACCCCCATAAGTAGAAACACAAGTTTATAAGAATCCATTTGAATCTAATTTAGAAACTGGTGCTAATCTTAAACATGGACTATCTGTGTGAGCACCTATGATTTTAAATCCAGTATTATTTGGATCAAACTATTAACCAATAGTGAAGGCAACAATAGTTGTAAGATTTCTTGTGAAGAAATATTTACCACCTTTTTCCAATTTCCAATTTTCTGTTTCATTCAATTCTGTAAATCCTGATTTTGCTAATCTCTCTTTACATAGAGATGTGACATGAAATGGACTTACTGCTTTTGCAACAAAGTCAAAGAATTCATTCACAAGATTTCTTGCTTATTATATTGGAAATTATTTCATATAAAATATTTATTTTAATAATAATATGTAATGAAAAACAACAGTTTTTAATTTGTAATTTAATTGTAATAAAGTGTCTATATATATGGATCAATCTAAAATCTTGAATTTTGTCTTTCCTAATGGAGTCTTGCATTAAGGACAAGAATGTAAGACATCCTTACAATCATCAATAATACAAGGTAAACAAGAAATACATACTAAACCAAAAGAACAAAGCAAAAGAATGCACGAGGCAAGATATGTTTAGGTTCCTGGTTTACGAATAATTACAGTATCAACCTAAAATATTGATTTTAATACCTTTTATTTGCATTATGGACATTGTACTCTAACTGATTTAGCGTGTCCATCACCACTCACTTAAGTGGATGAAACCAATCTAATTTAGTCAAATGTCATTGGTTTTTGATTATTTGTCTTAGCCTCTATGACTTGATCTGGGATCATAATTTCATTTTGATTTTTATTATCTGATTATTTAATATTGTATTGATCTGCGTTGTTTTAAAGATGAATAAATATTTCATCTCCATCACTTTATTACATTTGTTTAGTCATGTTTTAATTCTATGTTAAGTTTGTTAACTAAATTTATAAATATAATTTATCAAAATATCAATCATTTTCATATTCCAATTATTATTTAGCGAATTCATGAGCAATTTGATCTGCTTCATTGAAAAGCTCTTAATTATCTTTAAACATCTATTCTATTTTCTCATTTGCCACATTCCAATCTGCATTCAATAGATCTAACTTAATTTCTTTTGGAACACTTTAAATTATTCTTAATCAAGTACTTCAATTAGTCTTCCAATTACGAGATTCTATTTTCTAATCTTTTATTTTGAACCATCAGTTTTACTTATTGCTCTATTTCATCATTCTGCTATTTCATTAAACCCATCTTCTCCTTTTCTTAATCCAAAGTCCTTAATAAATTATCTGTGTTTGAATCTAGTCTCATCAACTCTTCACTCAATGCCTCCATTACAAACTTAATTGTTCAATTTACTTACTTATTTTGTTTTCTCTTCTTCTAGAATATAAGTAGGCATTTCTTATTTATCATTAACAATTTTCTTATTTGTGATGGGAGAATCTTTTTACTTTTTCGGAATTAATTTCTCAAATTCTTATTCAGTTCTAGTAAACAATCATGAATACATATCAACTTAATCTATTTATCCTTCATATTTCTTCTTATTCACATTAACTTCTTTAGGTACTATTAACCTTGGAGCTGGTTGCATCGTAAATAAAGCTTTGTCCAAATTAAGACTAAACTCATTTGTAGGCTTATTCTATATCAAATTTTAGCTTCCCTTTAAAATTTTTGGTCTGCTTCTCAAAAGTTAATCAATATTACTCATAATAATATAATTTTTTAATTATAATAAATCATTCATTTGGAACTGCTTACCACCTCAATAATTTTAAACTCTGATTGCCAAAATTCTTTTCTACTTCTTTTACAATTATGGATTTTAATTCATCATTACCATTTGTAATCTGTTTATTATGTTTAATTTTATGATATTATTTAGACTCTTCCAAAAATATTTTAGTCAATAGTAATATCATTCCAAATCTTAAATGCACTTCATGAACATTTTTCGATATACTGTAAAGCCCACTTTCACCATTCCAAATAATTGGGATATCCGAAAAATCTGCATGTTGCTAATCTTTGATATAAATATTTGCGCAATGATCAGAAATAGGACCCTTTAATAAAGCATTTTATTACATCAATCAATTGAAATGCCTTCTCCAATCTTTAATCATTCTCCATAAATGAATACAATCTCCTGTAGAAGTCATCAGCATTGATGCTCATCAATGGAATGTGTAGTTTTATCTTTTCTTCAAAATCGAAGATATATAGACACTAAGTTATAAAGTGGATTAATACTGGATCATATAAAATGCATGCTCCTGTAATTCTCTTTTCAGTTTGAGCTATTGCATAAGCAGTCGATCCACCAAAAGAATGTCCGATGATTGAAATCTAATCAAAATCTGGTTATATCTTTTTTTCAGGATGCTTGAAAAGTTCTGAGAAGAGTTTTTCATCATATATAATATCTAAAACTTGCTTTATAGCACATATTCTATATTTTAGAATGATATAGTTAATTACCTATCTAACAATTACAATTTTCTATATTCTCTATTTTCTTCATTAGTTAGGTAAATATTCCGAATATTCTCTATATGTTCTGGAACAAAGACAATATGACCTTATTATGCCAAATATCTTGCCACTACAGAGTATCCATCACAATGTGAAGCTAATCCATGACTCAATACAATGACTGAAAATTTAGCAAAATTGGTCGATGTTTCTGCAAAATTTATGTCAATTTATGCGTTTTCATAGACATTTATCATAAACTTATAGAATTATGAAACAACAATTTTAAAAAAGAGATAGGGAACTCTCCTTTTTCTGCGTACATCTTTTTTAGCTGTATCATCCATTTTTTTTGCATAATCCTTAACTTTTAGCCACTTGAATCCTTTTTTACGCTTTTTGCAATCTTCAAATGATGCAGGATAATATATTGCCATTTCTGGAATATGCTTGTAGTTATTAAGGATGCCTCCCTTCAAATATAAATGACCAACAGGACTTCCTCCATCTGGCAGATAGTAATTGTTTAACTTGTGGGTCAAATAAAAATATAGAATAAGTGTAGCCAGACTTAGTATCTACAATCTACACATATCTAATAGTAAACTTAAAGCATAAAAGAAAATATTCAATCTAAAACCTTCATAATGTGATTTTAAGAGTAATACAATCATTTATGATGTGTAAGAAAGACTTTGATATTCTTGATAGAAAATCGAAAGAATTAGCAAAATTCCTAATAACCACGAAAATGGATAATATCTCTTTTTTAGATTTAACATTAACGATAAATAAATAAATTAAAAATTTGAATTCATAATGAATCGAAGTAATTCCCCAATAATAAGACCCCTTTCAAATATTTCAAACAGAAAACTTACCTCCACTAACTTATTAACAAAATAAAATCAAAATTTCTCAAAATCTTTTGCTCCAAATTCAGTCATATTTCCATAAAATTTTGAGACTGCCAAATCAACTATCTAAGAAGTCAAAACCGCTACTAATAATATTATAACCCCAAAAAGTAGTATTACTTCATTTAATTCAACTCCAAGACTTAGTTCAACTAATAATGATGATCGTAAATCTAAAATGTTGAAGAGGAAATACGATAATCAATAAAAAACTAAATTTTTATTGTTTAAAATACTTGTATTTTTGAGTCTTATTGCTGTTGCGCTTTTGCTTTACTAAATACAATCAAATTTATTTTCAGAATCAAAATCAAGTAAAATTTCTGGAGAACTTCAATATGCTAAAGAGAAAATGATAGCAGACAGTGTTTCAAATTCTATCATTTAAACTGTTGTTTTTGAGCGCAAAAAAATCAATGTATAGAAGGAGAAGAGTGATGTGAAATCATTTTATTAAGATGACTTCTCTTCTAATTTATGGAAAATGGTAATAAAATTTTGATATGCAAATTAGGTTCTTGAAAATGTGAATAAAGACATAAGAGTAAGATTAGAAAAATAGGATAATGAAGAGTACTGGACTGTTTGATTAATTAATTTTCATAAGATTTATAAATTTATATGTAAAATACAACAGTTTTTAATTAAAATATTGAAGTATATTATTTGAAAAATAAAAATACAAATAATGTTATCAGAACTTGAAATACAAGCAGTTATTGGATTTACAGGTATATTGACAATATAATTATTTCAGGTAAAATTACTTAAGGCTTGATATTGCATCCAGATAATGAGGTATTGTTTAAATGATCATTAAAAGCATATAATCTATCCATTGGGTTCCACAATCGTTGTTAGACATATAATTAGCAGAGCTTAAACATTTTTAAGGTATAATATAACATGAATTTTGCTAGAGGACATGACAATTAGATTTCTGTGATAACAGTTTCTCGTTCAGGCGATTATGTTGCTTCTGGATAGAGGACTTATATGGGATTTTAAGCTGATATTATAATTTGGGATTTCAAGGAAAGAAGCATGATTCACAGATTGAAATTACATAAAGTTTTGATTTAGTCTCTCAGTTTTTCCTACAATGAATTATACTTAGCCTCATTAGGAGGAATCGATGATAAAAATATGTTGATTGTTTGGGACATTAAAGCAGGAAAAGCCTTGTATGGTACTCCAAATAGAGATCCTGTTAATTAAGTTTAATTTTACAACCAATCAGATGAAAAAATGATAGCAGTTTTAAATACTGGAGTTTAAATTTTAACAATTGATAAATAAAATAAAAAGGTATAGTATAACCCTATATTAAAGATCTAATCTGTTGATGTCAACTTTGGTAACGTAAAGCGTACATTCACTTGTGTTGCAATAGATAAAAATGACAAATATTGCTATTGCGGTACAAAAACAGGAGATGTATTTGAAATTCAAATGGATATGGCTATTTATAAAAGATTAGCTCCAGTAAAGAAGTTATTCAGTTAAGGAGTTAATTGTGTAGGTTTATTACCTAATGGCGATATTATTGTTGGTGCTGGTGATGGAATGATAGCAAAAGTGTCATTTTAAACAATGCAAATAGTTGCAAGTAGTGAACTTTTGGGAGGAGTAACCTCAATAACATTCACAAATGATTATACTCATTTTTTCACAGGAACTAGTCAGAGCAATATTTATTGGTTGGACACTGAGAAATTAATTCCAGAGTTAAGAAACACATGTCATTATGAAAGAATTAATGATGTTGCCTTTCCTCATAATTATTCAGATGTCTTTGCTACAAGTTCTTTGAATGACATTAGAGTTTGGAATGCTAAAAATAGATAAGAATTGCTAAGAATCTAAGTTCCTAATTTAGAATGTTGGGCAGTTGCATTTATGAATGATGGAAAAAGTATAGTGAGTGGATGGAGTGATGGCAAAATTAGAGCATTCTTGCCTTAATCAGGTAGATTGATGTATGTTATAAATGATGCACATATTCATGGATGTACATCTTTGACATGCACATCTGATTGCTAAAGAATTATCTCAGGAGGATCTGAAGGAGAAGTTAGAGTTTGGGAAATAGGCAAACAAACCTAAGTTATGAAGTCATCTATGAAAGAACATAGAGGAAGAGTATGGTCAATTCAAGTTAGAAGAAATAATGAATAAGCTGTTAGTGCAAGTGCAGATGGTTCTTGTATAATTTGGGATCTCAAATCATTTACTAGAGTTATGTGTCTATTTGAAAGCACGTTATTTAAAATGGTCCTTTATCATCCCGAAGAAAGTCAATTACTCACTACTGGAAGTGATAGAAAAGTAATCATTTTATTGTTAATTATTAGATTACTTACTGGGAAACTTTTGATGGTTAAGCAATCAGAATGTTGGATGGTTCAGAAGAAGGAGAAGTTAATGCCCTTGCCATCACAAAAGAAGGGGAACATTTTGTCTCTGGAGGAGAAGATAAAGAAGTCAAGCTTTGGGGCTATGATGAAGGAATCTGCTATTTTAAAGGATAAGGACATTCAGGCACAATCACTAGGGTACTATTTGCCACTTTTCTTAGATTACAATTAGTCCAGATCAAAAATCCATTATTTCTGTCGGTGCTGAGGGAGCTATCTTCATTTGGAAAATGCCTGAGTCTGTAATCAACGCTAAAGCACAACAAGAATTACCTACTGTTCAAAGTGTAAAAAAATAGAACGAACTTTAACAACAAACATAATAATAATAATCTTTATAAGCTCCCAAAGATTCATAATCATAAAAATCTAATCCAGTTGCTAAATCTGTTAAGTCAGGAACGAAATCATCTAAAAAATGATTAGATTCGATTATAACATAAATAAAATTATTAATTACAATCCCAATCAATTCAATTGTAGTTTGGTAAATCTACCTATTTGATCTTTCAATCTTTTCATATCCTTTTCAACTTATATAGCAACGATTTTTTTTCTCCCTGATCTTTACTATTACGATGTGCTGATTGTTCTTGGTAGGAGATTGAATACACGAGTTTTTTCCTAAGATTTTGGTCTTAAAGTTGTTGGTTAGAATGCTGATGTACTTCCTGTACGATTCATTCTTTATAATAATTCAATATGCTTTTATTCTTTCTCTAAAAACTACTTAAAGTTTTTCGATTAAGTGTCGATAAATTGCCCTTCTAAACTTTAATATTAATTTTACATGATTAAATTCTTCTTAATGATTAAGACACCTTAGAATTTGATCTAAAAAATTCAGTCATTTTATTTTTTTAAGGTTAATCGTAAACTAGCGTTGTTTTTGTCAAATTAGCTGTCTCAATTCTAGTTGTTTTAGTTGAAGGCTTTGCTTCTATTTCTTTTTTTATTTGATAATAAAATTCATCTATATCATCTTCATTTAAACTTTTTTCGTTTTATTCAATCACAAATTTAAATTCATCCGCCAATAATGATTTTTTCCTAATAATTTAAGAAATATTACTCAAATCTCTCCATTGATTTTTTGCTAGTAACTTCTGATTATTTAGATTCTGATTATTCTTTTAATTTTCTCATAGTTGGAGCGTTATATGAACTCGCTAAATTTGATATTGGCATGCTTGTTAAGTCTCGAAAAGATCTTAGACTTCCATAATTACATAGTCTTCTTACTTCATCTTTAAGACAATTACAAATAGTTGAGATTTATTCATAAATGCATTAAGTTTCTCCAGCTATTCTTGTCATACAAATTTCTATTAATGTCTAAAAATTAGTCGATAAATCATCATCAGTAAAATTTTCAACTTTTTCACAGAATTCTTGAAATACTTACTAGTCACAGTAAATTAAGGTAAGATTGTTTCCTTTTAATAGTTTCTTAAATTTTGGAAACTGATTCAATTCTATTTCATTGTTTGATCTTAATAAACCAACAGTTAAAACTGCATTTTAATAAACATTAATTATTCTATTATCTAATTTTTCACTTATTTATTATATGTTTTATAAAATAGAACATATTCTTTTCAATAAAGACATGGCTCTTGTGTTCAAAGTAAAAAACAATGCTTCTAATTTATTCAATTTATCTGTTTATTTTATAATTTGCAATTCATTCTCATTACTTGTATTCGCAATTTTATGAGTTAAGATATTCTAATTAAAGTTTTCAGATGTCGGTTCTTAACATCTTACTAATTTTTCTCTCACATCATCTGTCAAATTTAGCTATCGTTACAAATAAAATAAATACTTTATCGTTTAGCATCTAAATTTCATGTAAATACTCATCTTTTTACTCCTACAAAACTTAATGTTGATCTGTTAGTTATCTTTGTATTTCAGATTATTCTTAATAGTAATTTAAAATAAATTATTCCATTATATTGATATCAACATCATTTTTAATTTATGAAAGTAATTCTTTTGATTGCTAAAATTTCTCCATTAATTATGGATATGTTAATTTCTTTTTTTCCTTTTTTTTCTTTTTTGGTGTTGGTATTCGTTATTTTGATCTTGGCTAAGATGATGTTTGAACCTGAGTTTAAAAAAAATTATTGCTTGTTATTATTGAGTCTTCCTAATCTGAGTATAAATCATCTTTGCCTGAAGATTCAGATTCGCTGCTAATTCTTTATGTGTTATCATTCATATTGAATTATTCAATTTAGTTGGTGCAAAATTCGTATAATTTTGTTAGTGTTAAGTAGTTCTGTATAGTTATTCTTTATTATTCGCTTTTTTCCATTTTTTCATATTATTATTTAATTAAATCTTCAATTTAAGTTTTCTATTTAGATATTGTTTAGACTAAATTATCAACTGTCTCATTCTATTATTCAAGAGTGCATTATTCTTATTTTAGATTTTGTTCAACTTTCAAACTCTACTCATAGATAAAATCACGGTATTATTATCTTTAATACTTTAATCTAGCAATTGAAGATTAGAGCTCGCAAATTGTTTTTTTAATTCTATTCTTTCTAATTTAATATAAATTCATACAGATTCAGACTCAGCTGTTTTACATTCGTTTTCTGCCTAATTTTACTATTAAGACAATTGATTAGTATATTCTTATAAAGGATAAATTTGCTTCTTAATGCAATTAATTGATTTTTTAAGTTCCACTTCACTTTGAATTAAGGATTTCTAAACTTCCAACTCTTTTGTTAATCTTTCGGTTTCATCAGAAGATTTTGAAATCTAATACTAAAGAAATTCTTTGATCATTTACGTTTTATGAATATGTAGAAACTTGAGAAAAATTAGGAGAGGAGTACATAGCTATTTACTTTTGCATTTATTGATTCTTATTTTTTAACTCCTTTAAGATAATTCCAAAGTAATTAGGTGCTTCCTTGTCTCTTGAGCTATTTTGTAGAAGATAATCTTAAAATTCATCTTTTAGATTGTTTCGAATATCCTTAAAACTTGTTAAGCTGATTTCTAGCTGAGTTTGTGTGTATTACATAATTTATAAAAAATAAAAATAAAAAATGGTTGACTAAATAATCCCATAACTATGTTATTACAATAATATGTCTTGAAATACAATTATTATATGTTGAGATAATTAATTCAAAGTTTTCAAAAACCTCACTTTTCCTCATATAAAAGAGGCCTAAATGATATTCCCTCATTATCTGAATTTATGAAATAGTAAGTCCCTATAATCAATAACACTAATAAAGGCCCTAAGTTTTTTATAGAAACATATGGGTGTTAAATGAACACGAATGATTCCTAAATTGTTTAATCAATTTTATCAAATGAGGGTTATTCTAACACTAACGACATCTCTGAAGCTGATATCATCTTTTTAAATACTTGTTCTATAAGAGCAAATGCTGAAAAAAAAGTGTTTCAAAGAATGTCAGAATTAAAATCTTAAAATAAAGTACTAGGTATATTAGGGTGTATGGCAGAAAGACTTAAAGAGTAATTATTTACTTAAGGAGCAAACATTATTGTAGGCCCAGATAGTTATAAATCCTTACCAACTCTTTTGGACTCATTTCAACTAAATAGAGATAAATAGATAGACACAAATCTCTCATAAACAGAAACATACGATGATATACTCCCAATTAATCCTACTGATAGTATCACAACATATGTTTCGATAATGAGAGGGTGTAATAATATGTGTTCATTTTGTGTTGTTCCTTTCACAAGGGGAAGAGAGAGGAGCAGAAATCCTGAAAGCATTCTATAAGAAATAGATGTATTAACCTAAAAGGGAGTAAAAGAAGTTACGCTACTAGGACAAAATGTTAATAGTTACTTTTTTCAGGACGAAAAAATACAAAGCTAACATGAAAACTCGGCTGGTTTTAAAGAGCTATATAAATTGAGATATGGAAATGGTCTAAGATTTGATTAACTCTTGAATGAAATTGCAGTTAGATTTCCAAAAACTAGAATCAGATTTACCTCACCTCATCCTAAGAATTTCCCAAAAAAAGTTTTGGAAGTAATCGCAAAACATCCAAATATTTGCAAAAAGTATAGATTATGTAATTTAGTATCCACATACCTATACAATCAGGTTCTAATGATATTTTGCAAAAAATGAGGAGAAATTATACAAGAAGAGCGATTGAGGATTTATGCAAAGATATAAGAAATTAAATTCCAAATGTAACCTTGTCAACTGATGTAATTGTTGGTTTTTGCGATGAGACTGAATAAGATTTTGAATAAACTTTAAGTTTATTAGAACTTATATAATTTGAAAATGTATGAGATAAATTTAAATAGGCATTTATGTTTGCTTATTCAATGAGAGAAAAAACACACGCATAACGAAACTTTTAAGATAATGTACCTGAAAGTGTCAAATAAAATCGTCTTGAAAGGCTGATTGAATTATAACATAAGATTATGAATCAAAAAAATTCTCTTGAAGTTGGAAAGTATTTGATTATTAAAATTTAGGAAACATATTGTTTTAGTTGAATAGCTGGGTAATAGGCCTAATCAACTTAGAGGTAGAACAGATACAAATAAAACTGTTGTTTTTGAGAATGAAAAAAATATATATTCCACTGGTGATTTTGTGGAAGTTTAAATTATTAGTAGTGGCTTAAAAACTCTTTCAGGAAGGCCTTTGAATAAATGTTAGATAAATTTTAATTGAATTCATTTAAATTGATTTATTAATTTTTATTTTAATGGATGTTAATGCAATTCTTTAAGAGAGGAAGCGATTAAGTAATTTTAGTGTAATTTAGGAATTTAAAAGGAGAAAATAAAGGAGTGCTAATTATAAAGGAAATTTAGACAGAAATAAAAATACTATAATTAAGAATTGACTGAGAAATTAGGTAAGGATATGCTAGCTGAAAAAAAGCAATAATTCTATCAAGATGTATATTATTCAAATTAACAATAAAGCTGTTTACTTCAAAAATAAATGAATGTGAAGAAAACTAATAAATCAAGTAATTTGAAATCCAAAAGCATAATAATAATTAAGAAAATAAATAGGCAAAAAAAAACAAAAGAGAAAGAAAACTAATTAAAAGGGTTTTTACTTAAAAAAATGAGAAAGGATAACCTATTTTAAAAAATTATTTAAATTTAATGATCAAGAAAATAGAAAAAGAAAAATTCAATAAGAATTGATATCATATTATTTTTATTCATTTAATTTAAAAAATTATAAAGTCTGCAAAATTTCAGAGTTTTTGATATAAATTTCCATCCTTTTAAATAATTAGACATTCATTTTCGGATAGAATTATAATTTTACTATAATTTTAACATCGCTATTTATACGAAAATTAAAAGAATAAAATAATAGCTTAGAAATGTTCTTATACTATTTCTGCTCTTATTTAATTTAATTAAATACTATATACTTTACCTTTTCATTTATATCTTAAGCCTAATTCTTTAATTTGGTTGAGTATTTCTCAAAATTTACTATTGAACTTTATCAATCGAATAGTATATGCTTTTTCCAATCAGACAATTATGATTTTCCCCTAACCAAAATCATTTAAAATCAATTTTTCTATTTTGTGCTACTCCCCTCCCCCCGTTTTTGAACCTCACCCCAGAGACTTTTTAGTTTACTCTCCATATGTTGTTTTCTCAAAGCTAGAATAATCATTAAGTTTTTACATATATCTCAATTTGATGAGGCCAATTTTAAATTCTCTTAAAGTTCCTTCAAAGCTTTAGAGTATTATTATGTTAAGTTAGATTCAATATTTTATTATTGCTTTTAATATTTATCTTTCTATTCAAATTAAAATATTATTTAATCCTTGTTATCAACTGCAATTATATTACGATTTGACAAATAGAAAAAGTTGGAATTTGTAAATTTTCAGCTTCATTCTAATTTTTTGATGTATCTCCCAAGCTTTAATACAGGTTAAACATAAATTTTAGGCGCTCTTGCATCCAGTCATCAAAAATGTTCCATCACTTGAAAGAGCTATACATGTAATTGGTTAAGGAAGTTTATGAACCACTCTTATTATTTTGGGAAGATTTTCTCCAATATTCCATATTATTACAGTAAAATCAGAACACCTTGTTGCTAACATAATAGACTCTGGAAAACAACTACTTACATTTCTTTTATTTGAGCTTAGGACAACGCTTTTTAGTTTTTTCTAATAGTCTGAAATCAGCGAAATTGATTTATCTCTGCTTGCCGATGCTAGAATTGCCTAATCTAATGAGATATATAAGGAATTGACAGAGCCTTGATGGTCTTTGATTGTTTAATTTGTTCAAGTTTTTGTTTTTTTTACAATCCCAAATCTTACAGGATTGCTAGATAGTCTCCGTTTGATGATATAGAGAGATATTTAATAATTTCTGAATGGCCATGCAATTTCTTGATTTATGTACTTTTTTGTACTACTAGAATATAATTTTTTTCCTTCAGGGCACATCAACAATGATGTTATTTTCTTATTTTTATGTCCAAATAAAGTTCTCACTCATTACAAATTATAGACCATTTAGAATTTTTAATTTTTGATAGATTAAAGTTGCATCCATTAAGTTCGACTCCAGAAAATTTACTAGATTATAGATCACTAGCAAAAAAGCTTAAACAATTAATCTTAGTATCAGAATTGGAAATATCTCTCAGAGCTTACCCTCCCATAATAGAAGCTTTAAATTAGGATAGTAAAAATACTGAATTTGATGGTGCTCTTTTATAGTTAAGTTTTTCTTTGATAAATTAAGTGTTGTCTTTATTTGAATTACTATCCATTTGTTAAAAAAAATTTGTTATGAATTCAGATACTTTATAAAAATGAATTTTGGAAATATTAAAAATATCTTAATTATATACAGATTATTCTAAACTTTTATGTTAAAATTTATTTTTGTTTAATGATTATCGAATAAATTTATGAATAAAGAATAAAATTACCTTTGCAACTTAACAAAATGCAGCTTTGAATTTTCTCTTTATAATATTGCTCTTCTAATTCATCATTAAAATAATAATCAGACTTCCAATGCATTCTTGAGCATTTATCAGTTTTAATACTCCCTAAACTTTATGAGAAAAATAAGTTTAGTAATGAAGAGTCATATCAATAGCCAAAGATTCAGAAAAATTCCACAAATCTATTGCTAAATTTTTAAAGTTTAGAATATTTTCCATAAGATTCTATCTAAGGATTATAATAAAATATAAAGTTTTCGTAAAATTCACAAATTGAAATTTTTTTAATTTAAATAATCTGATTCTAAAGCTTCATTAAATAAATTTGTTATTGGATCCTTAAAAGAGGGCAATTATACAAATATAGGAATCCAATTAAAAGAAGAGCCATCTTTTTGCTTCAATATGTATTCCTCTATCCTGTTAGTAACTCTGCTCATTCCTGATTTTAGTTAACCACAAATCAACATTACATCTAAATGTTGATATTAATTATTTTTGTTGCTAGATAATATTTTATTAACATCTAATTGAAGATTCGTTTGATTAGATTCATCTTAACCTTTTACTTATAAACATGAGTCTTTTTTATCCCCTTTTAAGCTATATTTATGCGGAATTCATCTCTGCGATTTATTTATCATGCTATACTTTTCTTTTTCTATTTTCAGCAACTCATTGTATTTTTTACCTCGAAGAACTCTCATATCAATCTAAATTTCATCGACTGGTAGCTAAATTTTTTCAATTTTATTTTACAGTATTTTGAAGTCTTTGTGTATTTCTTACAAATATAAAAACTCAAATTAATTTAAGAGGACATCTCCTCTATATTTTAAAAATATTCGTCAAAATCCTTTGATTTCTATTCTACCAATTTTTAAGTATAAATTTGTTATTTTTATCACCATCATGAATTTCTACCTCCAGTTTTTCAAGTTCTTTCAATTTTACTCGAAATTCTTATTACAATCTTTTTATATTAATCTATTTACTTAATTTTAAATATATTCCTTACATTCTCTATTTCTCATCCAAGTTATTATATTAACATTTAACAAATTCTACCACTATTTATTCATTGATAATCATTTAACCTTTCATAATAAAATAAACAATCTCTGGCTCTGTAATCATCACTAAAATGATATTTTAATAATTTTGAATCCTTTTACATAAATGTTCATCATGGGTAATTTTTAGATCTTGAATAAAATTCATTTTTTATCTAAAATATATTTCTCAAATTTTCAATAGTATCATTTTCAAAAGTTTTAATTTATTAATAATCTTAACCTTTATCTGAATTACCACCTAAAACAGTTGTATAGTCTTAGTAATTCTGATATACTTCGACTCTCCTTTAATTTTTTTCAGTAATCTATGTTATTTATTAAATGTTTTTTAAATTTGCGTATTAATTTTTTAAATTTTCAATGCATTTTTATAATGAAAGAAGCAATCTAATTTTTGCAGCATATTAGAGAAAATACTTAGTTAATGAAGCTTCCTTCTATTCTGATTTAATTTGTTTAATATCAATTAGTTTAAAGGAAGATGAAATAAATTATTCTTATTGTATTATTTTCCTTTTCATCAAAAAATTACTAATACATTTGTCAGATTCAATAAAATTTAAACCTAGTGTTTTATGTATTAATATTTTAATAAAAGATGATCAAAACCTTTTATAACCTATAGAGTAGATTGATCAGCTTATCAATATCCCTTTGATTTAGACAATAATAATTTTACATTCTTCACTAATCACTTAGATAAATTATCCCTTTTAGCTTATGTTTTTTTTTATCAATTATAATTCCTTTATAATATTCATTTCTAATTTTAATAANTATTTTTTACCTCGAAGAACTCTCATATCAATCTAAATTTCATCGACTGGTAGCTAAATTTTTTCAATTTTATTTTACAGTATTTTGAAGTCTTTGTGTATTTCTTACAAATATAAAAACTCAAATTAATTTAAGAGGACATCTCCTCTATATTTTAAAAATATTCGTCAAAATCCTTTGATTTCTATTCTACCAATTTTTAAGTATAAATTTGTTATTTTTATCACCATCATGAATTTCTACCTCCAGTTTTTCAAGTTCTTTCAATTTTACTCGAAATTCTTATTACAATCTTTTTATATTAATCTATTTACTTAATTTTAAATATATTCCTTACATTCTCTATTTCTCATCCAAGTTATTATATTAACATTTAACAAATTCTACCACTATTTATTCATTGATAATCATTTAACCTTTCATAATAAAATAAACAATCTCTGGCTCTGTAATCATCACTAAAATGATATTTTAATAATTTTGAATCCTTTTACATAAATGTTCATCATGGGTAATTTTTAGATCTTGAATAAAATTCATTTTTTATCTAAAATATATTTCTCAAATTTTCAATAGTATCATTTTCAAAAGTTTTAATTTATTAATAATCTTAACCTTTATCTGAATTACCACCTAAAACAGTTGTATAGTCTTAGTAATTCTGATATACTTCGACTCTCCTTTAATTTTTTTCAGTAATCTATGTTATTTATTAAATGTTTTTTAAATTTGCGTATTAATTTTTTAAATTTTCAATGCATTTTTATAATGAAAGAAGCAATCTAATTTTTGCAGCATATTAGAGAAAATACTTAGTTAATGAAGCTTCCTTCTATTCTGATTTAATTTGTTTAATATCAATTAGTTTAAAGGAAGATGAAATAAATTATTCTTATTGTATTATTTTCCTTTTCATCAAAAAATTACTAATACATTTGTCAGATTCAATAAAATTTAAACCTAGTGTTTTATGTATTAATATTTTAATAAAAGATGATCAAAACCTTTTATAACCTATAGAGTAGATTGATCAGCTTATCAATATCCCTTTGATTTAGACAATAATAATTTTACATTCTTCACTAATCACTTAGATAAATTATCCCTTTTAGCTTATGTTTTTTTTTATCAATTATAATTCCTTTATAATATTCATTTCTAATTTTAATAACTATTTCTCCTTTTCTTCCTATATCTTCATACATCTTATAAGAAATCTACAATTGTTTTGTTCAAATTCTCTAAATTCTTTTAGACTTTTTGATTATAAATCAATTAATTATTGGGCAAATATATAACATCAAAATGGAAACGGATTCTGTTTATTTATCAAGAAGGCAAAACTCATTATATATTTCTTAGCCCAATATAGCTGATTATATTATATAATTATTTACTGATTCAAGATTCTCTTAGTATTCAAAATTCTTTCTTTCGATAATATTCTTATTGTCTTCCATTATTAAGTTTAATTTTTATTTATTTCTTTTTACATTATTAATATTAGGATTCCCAAATAAAATACATTATTCATTCTTGAATTATCTAATCAAATTAGTCAGAAAAAAATGTTATTCTAACCTATCTAGGAGTGTCCATTTTAGCTTCATAATTAGATTCTAACATTCACCATAGTTAAAAACTTTCTAATTTCCTAAAACATTGATAAATATCTTTTCTTTTAACCCAAGTTTAAATTACAAACATCATGCAATCTCTTGATTATATACCATTTCAATTCCTCAAAAAAAAAGTACAATCTAATGAGTTTAGATTGAGTCAACTGAATAAATATTTTACAGCGTCAAAAGA